TATGGTTGCTGCTGTTGTGAGACTGTAGTGGACTTAGGGAGAGGAAAAATATATACATATATATATATATCGATTCATGCAAAAGGAGAGAGAAGAGAGAGAGAGGATGAACATACCTCGGTGTCACCTGAGCCTGAGGCGATAACGGAGGCTGCGTCCTGCGGAGTGTCGACTGCAGATTGTGTCGTCTGAATTTTTTTTTTTTTTTCTTTTCCAATCCCCTATGGGCCTCAAAATTTTGAGGCCCAAGCCGACCAAGACTTGCCCTAACTTAATTTTTTTTTTTTTTTTACATCCCTATGGCCTCGAAATTTGAGTCCCTCTAAAATCTGAGGCCCAAGGTGATCGCCTTGGGCCAGGGCCGGCCCTGCTTCTCTCTCTACTTGGGAAATCACCTGAGACGTACTCTCATTGTTTGACGGATTGCCTCTTTCAGATCCAAAACCAGTGGGTCCAGTTCTTTTTGAATAGTTTGGTTGTAAAAATAACTTGGCCTTTGGACTTGCTTTGTTGTTTTTTGTGGCGTTTATTTGGGTTCTTCTTTGGGCCTAAGATGCTCTCCCTTGGGCGGAGCCCACTGTAATTACTTGTGCTTATACATTTTCGGGAAAATAAAAATGGTTTAGATTAGTCCTAGAAGTCTAATTTGAATCAAACTCGTACGAGAGTGGTTGCGTATATCTAAAACATAACTTTTTTTTTATTTCAAGCTTTGGCTCATTTGTTTATAAAACGAGTTTGAAGTCTGAGTTTTTTTTTTTTTTTTACAAGAAACAAACTTACATATTCATGATAATTTTATAGACACGTAAACACTTAACTTTTTTTCTTTTTTTGTTTTTGAAAAGCAAGGAGTATCAATAAGCTACACCGCTTTTGGTTCAAACCAAACTTTGATTTCAAGTAAGGAGTGGTTGCATTTTTTTATTTCGAGCAAGGAGTGGCTCATTTGTTTATCAAGCGAGTTTGAAGTCAAGTCCAGTATTTTTTTTTTTTTTTTTTACAAGAAACACATTTATATATTCATAATATTTTTATAAAAACTCAAACCCTCAACTTTTTTATTTTATTTATTGAATAACTCGTCTTTTTTGGCTGCCCTTATTTAACTTCTTTAAATGGTCAATATATATGGAGGGAGCTTATCATTGGGTAGTGACTACGTATACTTCCTCGTCTCGCATGCAACTAGACCTTTATCAACAAATTCTTTAGGAGTGGTCTTAAAGATATCCAATTTTTCAACCATTAAAATGTGAGTTGAGGGCCGTGAAATTAAGATATTTACAAAATTGTGAAGAAACAGAAGAAAAAAAAAAAAATGCAAGACTTAAACTCCCGTTTGGGATTGCCTTTCTACTACTAAAAAGCATTTTTTATTTTAAAAATTGCGGTGAGATGTGTTTGGTAAAAAAAATAAGTACGGTTAGATAGTAGAGGTTTAATTATAAAAGCACGTTTATGTGAAGTTACAAATCGTAGCTTTTAGAATTGCGTATTTGGTAAAAGTATATTTTTTAAGACAATTTAATCCCTCTTTATCTGCACCACTACTATTATTGCTATCGTATGTAGTATCACCCCTTTAAAAACTTAAATTAGAAATTCAAATTATATTAGAAGTTTTGTTTACTAGAAGTTTAGTTCATTTTTACCATCATCCAGCCAGGAATCAAAGAAAATTCACACACCAAGAATCAAAGAAAATTCACACACCTGTAGCTAGATCGGAAATCTTATTCGTCTAGTCTATTTGAGTGTTTTGTAAATTTTATTTTATGGGTTAAAAAAATAAGCAATATAATTTCTGGAACTTCTATTCTGATTGTGACTACTTCCTATTTATTAGGTGAGTTCATTTTACAATATCTATTGCAGACTTCGCAGTTAAGTTCTAAAATGTGCAAGTGTATCCAAATAAGAGTTTGGATGGCAAGATAAGGATGGATGCACAAAGCATGCCTGCTCAGATGAATAATTATGGGAGATGTTGGAAATTGAATAAAAATTGAACTTCACTCTTGGTTAACTTTATTTAAAATTAAAGTCACATAAAATCGTAGTTAGTATATTCATGAAAAAATCAAGCTATAATTAGTCAAACTAAACTTCAATATCTCGAATCTTATACAATTTGAATTTCATAAAATATGAGTATTCATGATGTATTATTTTTTTCTTTTGTAAGCCAAAAAATACATATATAAGATAGGGACATTATTAGTAAATTCAGTAATAAAAATGCTTTAAGCAACATTTTTACCAAACAAATTTAAAAGTGATTTAACTACAAAAAGCATTTTATACAATTCATTACTAAACGCGTAATATGGATTTTACTGACAGCAATTTTATAACAGCTCTGATAAAAATACTTTCATCATTCATCGTTCGATTTTGCAAATTACTTAATAGTACAGTTTAATAGTACTCGTAGTAATAATTATCTTCACTTTCAAACAAGCCTTCTTAAACCTCTTTGACCTAAACATGAATTTTCTATTTGCCTACCTAATATTAGGTTTCTAGAAAATAAAATATGCTATTAACATAAAAATATTGTAATTTTCTAACAAGAACAAATAATATTATATTAATTGTCTATGCAAATTAGGGTCAATGCTTTGAAAAAATAATATATTAGTCACAATTTAATTGATTTAAGCATATGTGTCTAAATATTATGGTTCGAAATTTGTGACATGCAAACACTTAAGCCAGTAAAATCTGAAGCAGAAAAATAATTCACAAAATCGAACCAAATTGAATTGGTTCAAATCGGATTAATTAGAAAAATAAATTTTTTTTAATTTTTATTTTTTGAAAGTGAATAGCTTGTATCGTCTAAATTACTATCCATCGACATACACGTATATATAATTATATAATCAAGCCGAAAATACAAAATTAATGTTCATCCGTGGCAACTGAGCATTGGACAATGAAGGTTTGTGCCCGTGGGAAGCAAAAATTTGTACCTTCATGCATCTTGGCGGCTAATGCAGAAAAAAAAACTCTTCCCGCCAATTTCTTTTAGTTTGTTGCTGTGTTGTGTCTAGTGAAAATCTAGACCTCACTTGTCCACTTTTCCCGCCAATTACTGGGTATAAAATTCATCCGGCTTCCTTTTATTTTTTTCTTTTCAATAAAGTCCTCCGAGTTGAATCAGTTGACAAAAGCAATCTAAAAGTTTCAAAATAGATTATCTCTCTTATTCTTTTGTGGTATGTTATTAATTACATACTAGTATGAGTACTTGGACATGTAATAAATCTCTTAATTATTACTATACTTTTTTCTTTTAAAAAAGTTGAAAGAATATTAATTTTGGTACTATCCTTAGAGTATTAATTACATGCTCAAATTAATTGTAACAAGTATTGGACACTTGCTCATCTTTTTCTAAGAAAATTTATACATGACGAAGTTCAAGGTAATCAAATAACTATTTATTATATATATATATATATATATATATATTTATTATGTATATATATATTATGAGATTGACACCTTAAAAATTGATGAACTTATTTTGAAATACAAACAAAGTATCGAAGATTTTATATCCCAAAAATAATTAATTCATGGAGGCAATATTTTGAATTTTATAACTTTTCAAAATCTACATATTTGAATTTTAGGTTCATATTCTAATTGCATCTATTAGAAAGTAAAAAATATTTCGACCAAAAAAAATAATCATTCTAAAATTCATGAAATTTATTTTCCTTTCTTTTTTTTTTTTTTAAAGAAAATTTGAATTTATTGTATTATTTTGAAAAATAAATTAAATATAATTTATTAAAACTTTGGATGGTATTTGAAATTTTTACTTATACTCATGCCAAAATGGAAATCATTATCATGACTTGGGGTTATTTGGTAATTCAATTTAGCGCTTAATTTTAAATAATCTAAGTACTTATACAATTAATAACACATTTTGAATAACACTAAAAAAAAAATAGATAAAAAATTAATTAATTAGGTAAATTCACTTATTACTAAATGTTGAAGGCCTAAAAACCTATGAAAACAAAATAAAAGCAAAATTTAAAATCACCGCTTCAAATTTTAACACCTAAAATTCAACTTTTTAAAATTTTAATTTTATCAATTAGCAACTTAGACTAGTAAATAGGCAAAAAGACATTTTCAAGTGTGGAATCAATTGTGTAAAATCTATGGCTAGTTATTTCAAGTACGGGCGAGACAGTAAAATTCATATCATATAAGTACCTCAAAATGCTCACACTCATTTAAATTACAACACATTTGTAAAAACCCTATGATATTATTCAAAATTACAGATAAATTATTTTATTTATCGAACAATTAACAGAGAAATAAAATTGCATAACTGTACTTACAAAATGAAATGGTGCCAAAGAAAAACACACACACATAAAGAAATGAACTAGGCTGCAACCCTTAGTATGTGAATGAATTTATTGTAGGGTAAAAAATACAACAAAATTATTACTAATAGATAAAAAAAAAATTACAAATAAATCCATGGCTTGAATTTCGTCATTACTTGCAATGAAAAAATTATTAATTATATATTAATTAAATGAGTAGTAAAATGTGCCTTTTTTTTATTTAAAGAAAGACACTCGTTTTCACTTTTCATGTTAAAAGTTATTGCATTAAAAGAACAAATATAAATGGTATTGTATTAAAAAAAGGCAAAATAGTTAAATAATGAATACATGTCAAGTGGTATGCACACAAATATATTTCATTATCCTCTTGCCAAAAATGTGATAGGAGTAGAAAGCAGTATTTATAAAATTGTGATAATTTGGAGGGTCATACAACATTTTTGTTCAATCTTTAATGGCGAGGGGATAATTGCAATAGCTAAAATAAATTCGAGGCTTTCTCCTAAAATAATAATTTATAGGGTCTAATTGTAAATTGAGATAGTTCAGGGGTTTTTGTTATTTTGACAAAATAAAACAACGTTGTTTTCCGACTCGAATTAGCCCCAGAATTCCAACTCTCTCTCTATCTCTCTCTTTAAGCCTCAGAGAGAACTTCAATGGCGGCGATTGATCTCTAATAAGGTACAATTCGTTCCTATATTCACAACATACATACACATATATACATATCAACGCACTTGGGCGTGATATATAAACCCTAATTCCGCCTTCATCTTAGGGAAAAAGTTTCGACATTAGAACTTAATCGATGTTCGAAACGTTCACAGGTCACACTTTTATGCTTAGTTTATTATAATTCTGTGTGGTTTGTATTTCGTTTCATTATCTGGTTGTAACCATCTAGAAAAGCCCTAAAGTTTGCAACAAATTGTGGAATTAGGGCTGGTCATAAACACTGATTGGTTTGCTAAAGCATTTTTTGAACCCTAGCGATTGTTGGAAGTTTAGATCTGATTTACGCTGGGTTGGTCTTCGGTTGGTCAGATGCAGTCTGCAGTAACAAGATCAGAGAATCGTGGGAGAAAACGAAGAAGGAATGACGTTCAAGATGCTATGGTGGATCGACAAACAAAGAAGCAGATGGTTGGGACAAGGTTGAAGGCGTTGGTGGGAAGATATGTGAAGAAAGAGTTTGAGGGCAGTGGGGTTTTTCTTGGGAAGATTGTATACTACGATAGTGGATTGTATAGGGTTGATTATGAAGACGGGGACTGTGAGGATTTGGAATGTGGCGAAGTAAAGGAGTTCCTTATCGAGAATGTTGATTTAGATAGTGATTGGATTGAGAGGAAGAAGAAGTTAGATGATTTAGTATTGAAAAGAAGTGTAAAGGTGAATGAAATATTGCCAGGGAATGTGGTGGATTCGGAGACTGCTGTGGATAGGGTTGAAGCATCTTTGTTGAGTGAGACTAGTAACAGTGGTGCTAACGGAATTGATGGAGTTCAAGTTGATGATGATACCGAATCACTTGATTCATGTGAGTATTCTCAAGATCAGAATACTGGCTTCAAGGTCGAGGTTGCACTGGTCCCGCCACCGAAGTTGCCTCCTTCTTCCAGAAATATTGGTGTCCCGGAGGAGTGTGTTTCGCACCTTCTATCTGTGTACAGTTTCTTGCGCTCATTTAGTATCCGGCTGTTTTTGAGTCCCTTTGGACTTGATGATTTTGTGGGATCACTTAAATGTCCTGTCCCAAACACACTGTTAGATGCTATTCATGTTGCTCTCATGCGTGCACTGAGGCGTCATCTTGAAACTCTTTCTTCAGATGGTTCTGAACTTGCATCAAAATGCCTGAGGTACTTATTTGCATCTATTTGCCTGTTTTTTTAAGGAAATGTAAATTCATAATTTTACTTGTATACATTATTAAGTTTGAGCTACACCATCAGGCCTGTGGCCTAGCCTTATCAGGCCCTTACTTCCCAAAGGGAGGTTAGGGGTTTGAGCCTCAGCGGAGGCGTGTGTGTGAGTACCAACTAAGAAAAAAAAAATTTGAGCTACCATTTTAAGTGAAATTGTTGATTTGTTAAGCAATCAAAATTTCTTTTGGGGGGTAATTGTCTTCTGATTTCTTCCCTGTTTTAAATATTGAATGCCAGGATTTTTGACTTATTTTCAATCATTTTCACATAAAAAGAGATATTTAGAAGGAAGTGATTGATATATACACCAGCACGCGCGCACACACACACACACACACATATATACATATATGCACAAGAAGCTTTTATATCTCAATTATCCTTAACTGTGTATGCCCTAAACAAATAAGCACTGGGCAGCTTCTTTGCCCAATTTATTGGATTATACTTTGAGCATGTTGTGTTTGTTTCATTTGTCATTCATCAAACTTAGAACTGCAATGTTACTCCTGTATGCAGGTGCAGTGATTGGAGCTTGCTTGATACTATGACTTGGCCAGTTTACTTGGTCCAATATGTAATGTTAATGGGGTATACGAAAGGACCTGAGTGGAAAGGATTTTATATTGATGTTTCAGAGAGGGATTATTACAACTTATCTGTGGATAGGAAGTTGGTAATTCTGCAAATTATGTGTGATGATGTTTTAGAATCTGCAGAGCTAAGAGCAGAAATTGACATGCGCGAGGAAGTGGAAGTTGGAGTAGATTCTGATGCAATTACAGTTGTTCCTGAAAGTGGGCCGAGAAGGGTCCATCCTAGACACTCTAAAACTTCTGCTTGCAAAGACCGAGAAGCTATGGAGATCATTGCAGAAAGCCATGAGACTAAGTTTCCTTGTAGCTTGACTTCTTCAGGTTGTAAACATAGTGAACCATGTGCAAGTGATGATCTTGATCAGGATGGTAATAGTGATGAATGCCGGCTTTGTGGCATGGATGGGACTTTGCTTTGTTGCGATGGGTGTCCTTCAGCTTACCATTCGAGATGTATAGGTGTGACCAAATTGATTATACCAGAAGGGGCATGGTATTGTCATGAGTGTACAATTAATAAGATTGGGCCAACATTTACAAAAGGAATGTCATTAAAAGGAGCAGAAATTTTCGGTGTCGATTTATATGAGCAAGTCTTTCTAGCAACTTGCAATCATTTGCTGGTGTATGATTCTGATACCCAACTCTAGAACTTTGTTTTTTATTTATTTTTAGATTATTTAAATTTGTGATAAATGGTTCAATTGGCAATATGATTACTTTGGTGGGTCCTATCTCACCTTGGTTAGGCTTGAAATTGCACTTCTTTTGTCTTTATATATTTCTGTCCTCTCATATTCTGAAATATTTTTTTTGATCTTTTCAAATAAATGACCGCAGGCTACAGAGTTCAGTCAACTCAGAACCATGTCTCAGGTACTACAATCAGAATGACATTCCAGGTGTCCTGCAGGCACTTCATTCATCTACGGAGCATATTGCTTTGTACTCAGGGATATGCAAGGGAATTTCACAATATTGGAAAATTCCAGAAAATGTGTTCTTTCTTCCTGGAACATTTGAATTGGGTATGGGCCTAGTGAGCAAAAAGGAAAATGATGAGTACTCTACTCCATCACTTGCTCTGTCGGGTAAGGAAGGTCATAAAGTTGTAGATTTGCTCGAGAGTGAGAATTTTGCAAGTTGTGTAACTGAAAATAGTGCAGGAAATGTGGCAGTTTCATGTTTAACAAATTGTTGTAAGCAACCTGCGGTTAAGAACACCTCCTTGGATGCAACCAACCAATCTGTACATCCCCTTCAGCAGAGGAGTTGTGATTCTACAACAAAACAAGTTTGTCCTTTAACGGATACCAAGTCCTCTAAGCTGATGAAGGTGGAATCTTCCATGTCTGCAGGTTCAGTTAGCCAGCTGGCTGGTCCATCTGACTTATTCTATCGAACCTTGACTGACAACCAGAGTAACAGCGGACATGTGAATGGTATGCATGTCGTAGAAAATATGTCTTTGCAGAGGAAAGAAGGCAATGATCGAGTTAGTGGAAGATGTGACAGTAATTCAGCCGATTACTTTTACATGGGTTCATTGTTTAAACCTCAGGGGTACACGAATCACTATGCCCATGGAGATTTTGCTGCATCTGCCGCTGCCAATCTGGCTACTATTTTATCAGGGAAACATGGGTTTTCTGAGTCTAATGTTTCAGACAATCCTAGGAAAGTCATGTCTGTAAATGTCTCACTTCAAATAAAAGCATTCTCATCAGCAGCCATACGTTTTTTTTGGCCAAATTCTGAAAAGAAGCTTGTGGAAGTCCCGAGGGAAAGGTGTGGTTGGTGTCTATCTTGCAAGGCCCCTTCTTCAAGCAAGAGAGGATGCTTGTTAAATGCAGCTGCCTCAAATGCCATTAAAGGTGCTTTGAAGGTACTCAATGGCCTTCTTCGTTCTGTGAAGAATAGAGAGGGAAGTCTTCCTAGCATTGCAACATATGTCATGTTTATGGAGGAGAGTTTACGTGGTTTGACAGTTGGTCCATTCCTAAATGCAACTTATAGAAGACAATGGCGTAAACAAGTAGAACAGGCTACAACCTGCAATGCTTTAAAGACTCTCTTGCTCGAAGTAAGTATTCTACTTTTAACATCTCAGTTATGTGGATGCCGACTTTTTGATTGGTGTCAAGCAAGTCATTTTTTCTTCTAGGATTAAGATCTTTTATTGCTTGACTAAAATGCTTGTTTGACTTTGAGCCCATGAGCTTTCTTTTTTGTCTTCTTTCTTGTGTTTTAATTAATTGAATGAACCTTTATGTTGTTAGTTCCATCATAGACAGATTACCTATCTGCTACATGTATGTTATCCACAGCTTGCGTTATGTTTGCTTATGGATTTACAATTAAATAAAGAATATGAGTAAGTAGTTTCTCCTTGGTCAAAATGACATGCTGGAGGATCTTATCAGCAAATAAAAATGATGTACGATGGAGTTTGTGGAGCTTATTATAGTGAATAATGATGAACATGCATGTTATCCCTTTAATCTAACTTTGCTGACATTTTACGGTTCAATTGTGATACTTGTTATGTAAGATATCGTGCGAATAGTGCCTGTAGCTTTGCAAATTAGGTACATCTTAGGAGGTTAATTTCATCAGTTTCAGCATATAGTTTTATGTATCACGTAATTTTGAAGCCGATAAAGATAACTTCATTTCATTATTCAACACATTATTGCATCATGTAAAAAAATGGCTACAAATGGAGGGCAGAGCATAGGTTAGCAGCCACTGACCAATACTTTATCCACTCCAGGCAAATCAATTTGTGAAGCCGGGGAAAATATATATATATATATATATATATATATATAAGATGAACAGAAGTTATAAGAGATACAGCAAACAGAAGTTAGAAGTTATAAGTATCAGGAGGAAACAGCAAACTTGACAGGAAACTTAAGGAAAGGTAAACTGCAATAATTGAAAGTGGCAAAAAGTGGCAATAAAACCTTCAAGAGCTTCTGGACGGTGGATCACTTGATCTGGATCTGGACCCGGATCCGGTAGATCATTGCGGTCAGCTTCCGGAATATCGACCGCGTGAACTGGAACTTGTTCTTGCGAATTGACAAGTAGCATATAGGTATATCATTAAATGCATCTGCTGTCAATTCACAAGAACAAGTTCCAGTTCACACGGTCGATATTCCGGAAGCTGACCGCAATGATCTACCGGATCTGGATCCAGATCTAGATCAAGTGATCCACCTTCCAGAAGCTCCTGAAGGTTTTATTGCAATTTTTTGCTACTTTCAATTATTGCAGGTTACCTTTCCTTATGTTTCCTGTCACGTTTGCTGTTTCCTCCTGATGCTTCTTTGTATCTCTTATAACTTCTATTCTTCTTATATATATATATATATATATATATATATATTTTCCAGCTTCACAAATTGATTTGCTTAGAGTGGAAAAAGTTTTGGTCAGTGGCTTCTAACCCATGCTTTGCCGTCCATTTGTAGCCATTTTTTAACTACATGATGCAATAATGTGTTTCAATTATGGAATGCAGTTATCTTTATCGGCTTCAAAATTATGTGATCCTGATATAATTTCAAAGCTATGTTCTCAAATAGGTAGTTTAAAATCTTAGGATGTGATAACTATATTTTCATTGAGAAAGATTCACATTGATTTTTATTGTCCGTCAAAACTTTTGGAATGGTGCTATATTTTAATATTTTATTGTCAACCTCAAAGGGTTGGCTCAAGTGGATAAGAACTTGGCTCTGGTGCCTCATGAAGCATCAAGTCTAAGGTTCGAATCCTCTTGGGTGCAAACAATTCCTTGAGAAAAAAGAGGACTGGGGGGGGGGGGGGGAGTATCAAACTCGGGAATTTTATTTTATTTTATTGTCGTAGATCCATCTTTCTTTTTGTTGTACCAGTCTCTCATAGTGTTTGTGGCTCAGTATGCTTTATCTCTATCTTGATGTCTGGGAAGGACTATCTCAGCAATTATTCATTAGATCTGCTGTTTACTTTTCAGTGACTATTAGATATATTGACTGGCTTTGAGAATCTGATTTTTGGAGTGACAGATTTTTGTCACAAAAAGAAGTGTCTTCACTAGACACAGATGTTACAGGAATTAAGAAAATGTAGGTAGATGTACTTAAGAAGGGTAACACTTATAACCCATATTTAATACCACGGGTTAAAATTTATCAACTTGTATACAGGGTCAAAGGTCTTCTTTTAATCAGCAGACAGTAACATAAGTTTGAGCAAAACCTTTAGCTACTTGCCCTGCCTTGTACCTTTCTACAGAATCATCAACCTTGTGATTTATAATGAACATTGTGATTTATAATGAACACCCAATTTCACCCCACAATCTTATTACCCTATGGAAAAGTTTCCGATTCTGTGTCATGTTTCTTGAGGGCTTTCATTTCCTCTACCTTGTATTCCTCGAGGTTTTGTCATTGCTTCCTTTGTATCTGATGGGACAGACATAGAAGACAAGGAGGTTAAAAAGGCATACTATGATGGTGAGATATTGGCAAGGACCAAATAAGCAGAAGAACCAACCGGTTCCCTCGACTTATTAATTCATGACAGGCGCGGCCTGTTCTGAGCAGAACCAGGTCAGTCTGCAAGGAACTGGCCTGGTTCTGTAACGAACTGGGCTGTTCGTCTGGTTCCAACTTCTGACCTGACGGTTTATGGATTCTTTTTAAAATGGAGAAAGGACTAGGTGATCAAGTTGAGAATCAAACCTAGACCTTTGATAGTAAAGCAAGTACTTTTGCCACCTAACAAAGTTCCATCTCTTGCCATTATCAGTGCCAGTTTTTTTTATTTAAACCCCTTCATTTAGTCATTTTTAAAGAAAAACATAATGAAAATTGATCATAAAATCACATATAAGCATATATGACTAATTTATTTTATATGTAGACAAACCCATATATATATTTTATTAATTTATTTTAATTTCTAGTTATTTTAATTTTCTGTTTTTAATCCTCACATGTTATTTAAGGCATGGATTTTCATTAATTACATGCTTAAATATATTATTATTCATTAATTTGGTAAAAAATATAATTACTAAGACTAATAGTGACTACTACTCAAAATTCATAATTAGTTCACTACTTGTATTAAATGGCATTTAAAAATTCAATAAAAATCACTAGAAAACCATTTTTTATTGAATTGTGTTGTAAAAAGTAGTGTATCAGTGCATTTTGGGTCTTGGCAAGGTCAAAAAAAATTTACCACCACGATAATCGGTTCTGTAGAATCGGACCACCATGCTCCTGACATAGAAAAAATAATGGTCAGTCATTATATAAATACATTTACTCATGCTATGAGTTTAACATTTTATTATTCCATTAAGTAACTGCCTTTAGCATATGTGCAAATACTGAACGTGCTTTATTACTCCACATGTTATATATATATATATATATAGGAGTAAGTGTACAAGCGCTTGCGCTCTAACAAAATTTTATATTTTGCCGCTTTCTTGCTCCCGATCTTGCACTTGTTGTTGCTCGCGCTCTGTGTGACTTCGGCTGTGATAAAGAAATGATATAGGGGAAGAATTCTACATACATAAATTTGAGGGCTTCCTTGAGACAATGACTCTTGGAGCATTACAGTTTAAAAAATAATCTCCCTTCACACAGGTTCACAATTCTTATCAGATCTGAACCTAACTTAAGAATCAATTACTTGAACTTAAACCAATTCAACACAAATGATCTTATTATTAGATCTGAAGATAGAGCAGTCAGTACTTGGCTCGAGGATGGAATAATCCTAAGAAGACCAAATAATTGCTTGTAGATTGTGATAACTGAACAGCATAGACGGACTTACAAAAAATGGTGTTCACAACTGAGTTCTATATCACAAACATTAGTAGGTGTTGCAAAAGGAGAACAAGTTTCGGCATTGCTAAATGAGGAAAGAAGCAAACCTGTAGATGGTGTATCTTTTCTTTGAATTGGACCTCATCTTTGATATTAGTAGTTCTGCACTGTTAAGGAGATGTTCTATGGAGGTGGCTACTTATAGTTTGACTGTTGGGCAGATCTTTGGAGTTCAAGATATGTTTGTAGATTGCTGAAGTGCATTGTTGGATGATAACATTAGCAATGGTTTTCTTTTTCTTTGCTCTAGCTTAATGTAACAGTTTTAATCATCTTGTCATTATTTGTTTTAATGTTAGAAATTTCATTTTTAAAGTAAATTTATATTATAATTCTAGGGCTAGAACTTTTCTTGATCCATTGTTTCTCAGCAACTGATAATTGTAGCTAAGGATGCATGCTTTTGTGTATTATATGCATGCTTAGGCAGGTCTTCTCTATGGTCTTGCTAACATGACCTTGTTTATTTTGGCAGCTTGAGGGAAACATCCGCGTTATTGCTCTTTCTGGGGATTGGGTTAGGCTTGTGGATAATTGGTCAGCTGAATCTTCTGTCACCCGTAGTGCTGCATGTGCTGTTGGATCAACTCAGAAACGTGGACCTGGGGGGAAGCGAGGTAGGAAACGGTCTTCTGTCTCTGAAGTCACAACTGACAATTCCCCTGACAATTCAAGGGACTTCATCTGGTGGCGGGGAGGAATATTATCAAAACTTATATACCAGAAAGGGATTTTACCGCGCTCTATGGTTAAGAAAGCAGCTCGCCAAGGTAGCCTCCAAACTGTGTCTTTGTCCTCTCTGGCAGAAAGATTGACCACATTTGTTTTGCTATAAGCATCTATGGATTATGTTTACTGATTCAACTCTAATACCTTTCTTATAAGCTATGTTACATGGATGTGCCGTATGGGTATGGGACCATGCGTTAGATGTGTCAAATCCCCAACCTGAATGACACATGGACACCGCTGAATATTTATATTATTTAATATTTATATTTTATTTTCTATAGTTCAGTTGAGGCATTTCACTTGTTTTGAAGTAATAATATAATAAAATTGAATTTTTGGATATGTTTTTTTAGGTGCATGTTGGACACATCCCGTACTCATGTCCAAGTATTGTGTCCGACACGGGTACTTCACGTACTTTTGAAGAGCCCATGTAACATAGATTATAAGCATTAAATTATGTGAAAAAGATGGAGAAAATAATTCACTCACGATGTTGCTTCTTATCAGGTGCATTTAGAAAGATATCTGGTATATATTATGCTGAAGGTTCTGAGGTCCCTAAAAGAAGCAGGCAATATGTTTGGAGAACTGCAGTTGAAATGAGCAAAAATGTATCACAGCTTGCGCTTCAGGTATGTTCTTTGCCATGCATAATATTATTACAATTATACTTCATTCTCTTCTTTTTCATATAGCAAATTATAGCCTGCTCTGGCCGACTTTACATGCGTGTGGTGAAGTTTGTAATTTTTGCATAATTGTAACGTTCAAATTTGGCCCTGGCTTCAGGTCAGGTACCTAGACCTTCATGTAAGATGGAGTGATCTAGTTCGTTCCGAGCAGAACCTTCAGGATGGAAAAGGACCAGAGACAGAAGCTCCTGCATTCGCAGATGCTTTCATTTGTGATAAGAAAATTGTGGAAAACAAAATTAGATATGGAGTTTCTTTTGGGAATCAAAAGCATCTCTCCTCGCGCATTATGAAAGCAATCATAGAAACAGAGCAAAGCCATGACGGAAAGGACAAATATTGGTTTTCTGAGACATGCATCCCCCTATATTTGATCAAAGAGTATGAAGAAAATATAGACACGATGTTTTTGCCATTGGCTGACAAGCGTATGAATGGTTTGTCTAAGTTACAAAGGCAGCTGAAAGCTTCGCGTAAGGATATATTCTCTTATCTGTCACGTAAGAGAGATAGTTTGGGCAAGTGCTCTTGTGCTTCGTGCCAACTGGATGTTTTGTTTGGGTAATTTTCTGTTGTCACTTAAAATTTCCTTTCAGCTCCTAATCCCTCGCTATTAGTTTATTAATATGTTATCTGCTGTGATTTTCAGGAATGCAATCAAGTGCAGTTCATGCCAAGGTATGATAACCGTTGATTTATTATGTCCAATCATCAGTATGTCTATTATAGTATTTTTGAAGCGTGAGCATCTGGGTGTTCATCTGATATTCTTCTTTCAAATTTTAGTTCTTGACTAAGTTTCTTGAGATATCTTTTATTATCATATTGAATTCCCAAACAATCTCTGACAAATGTGTATAGTTCTGAGTGCTAAAAAATTCTAATCGGTACAATACTATGATTGGTTTAATAAAATATATTTTCTTGTCTTTAAACCAAAAAGAGAATGAAATCTAGTTTCTTTCTTGAAATTATGTTTTTCTAAAAAGCCTTTGTCAATTTAACCAAAAGAACATTTGTAAGAAGAAAGGTTTATTTCATTTTCTATTTATCTTTGTTTCTTTGTAAACTTTTAACTTCTTGAGTCAGGATAGGCAGCATTAGTATTTACTACTATATTAGTTCCTTTCTCTTTTTTTTTTTTTGGGTTATTCCATCTATAGCAGTTTGGAAATCGTGGTTGCTGCTGTATGCTTCCTGATTAAAGTCCAATGTTGCACTGCTGTATGCAAAATCAAGTGGTCCCTTTTCAAGTTTAAACTTAAACTATTCTACCCTTCTATTAGAATCTGGAAAGAAGAAAAAAGGGCAGTGTTGTAGGCAGTGGGCACTGAACTTCTACCTTAATTGCAGTTACCAATTTACTTAATTCCAAAGAATAAAACAACTAGGGTTATAATTCCGTTCAATAATTTTTTATTTGGATAATAAGATTTTTGAAGATGAATGCAAGTGTTTTACAAATTTTCGGAGATGAATGGTGCAACGAATTACTTTTATAAATGCTTAGAGGGTGGTATGCAGTTTTTATTATTTATTATTTTTATGTTAGAAATAAGTGGTGGCTATGCAATTTCTTTATCCTGCACCATAAGGTTTTTAAATAATGTTAATGGTCTTGTCATGCAGACATTGGATGCGAAGGAGGTAACATAATGGACACAGTTTCTAAAAGTGTATACCAACATACCTATTTTGATTCTAGAACCTTTTATATGTTTTAATAATTTAATTTTGATAAATTCATACTCTGATGGTTTTGCTGGGGTGGATGAACCTTAGTTTGAATTTGATGTTTCTATAAGCAAGAAAAACTAATAATTATTAGTTTTTTAAAAACTAATAATTATTAGTTTTTTAAAAACTAATATTTTGTTTACTTTTTACTAATTTTAAGTTACGTTTTTAAATTATGATTGTTGAAATCGTATAGCCAAAAATGCACTTGAACATGAAAAAGGATTGAAAATTATTCTAATTGGACTTAGCAAACAGGTTGCTTACGATGTGAAAAGTAGTCCTATGACCACGTGAATATGCCTTCTTCAAGTCTTCTACTAATTTATTATAGTATAAAGTATATACTTAAGAAAAAGAAAAAAAAATGGAATTATAATCTATCTAATTGAGGTTATATATATATATTTCTAATTTATTATAGTATAAAGTATATACTCAAAAAATGGACTTATGGGTTGGGTTGGATTTGGGCCGGGTTGAATATGGGTTGTAATCCATATCCTACCGATTGAAGCGGGTTGTATATGGTTTCGGTCAAAATGGGTTGGGTCAACCCGTAATGACTCAATGACCGATTTTAATTTCTTTCGTTCTTCTTAAGAAAAAGAAAAAAAAATGGAATTATAATCTATCTAATTGAGGTTATATATATATATATATATATATTTCTAAATGCGCGTCTCAAATTGAATTGAGCCTTATGAACAGCACTAGACTCTAGGTTACGGAAACTTTTCAAAACTTCCTAATAGTTGCCAATCAGTTATATCTACAAGATCCATATCCCTTACCATACACCAATCAAACTCTCTCCTCCATCCCTTCCCTTCTCTCTCAATTGTTAAAACCAAAAGCTCACAATGCCCCTCACTAGTAGCATCCGGCAACCATTGGCATCTCCTTTGACTGTCTCCAATTAAAGTTAAATCGCAATCGCACCTCTCCTAACCCTTGTTTGTGAAATGCGGAATAACATCCATCGACAATCTTTAAGGATCTAATATTACAAAATAAATTGTGCTAAGATCTAACCTAACTTGAGGAAAAATATAGAAAAATAATTCAAAGAAAATTTTGAAACCTACTGCTTAATGAAATATGTCTAGGTTTTGATTTAAGATTGTGGGATAAGAGGACGGTTACCCAAGGTTTTGATATACTAATGTATTCTTAGATCGAGAGGGGGGTGAATATGTCTTATTGATACCAATTTGCAACTAACTAATTTTTAAAATTTTTGTTTATTTTTACTTATAAAAAAAGAAAAAGAAAAAAATGTTTATTCAAACTTCAGTTAATTAGTTAAATTCATGTCTCAATTGCAATAACAAAAATATATAAATCAATAAATAAAATTGAGTAGAGACACAAGATTATTATGTGGAAAACTCCAAAAAGGGAAAAACCACGGGATCTAGTCCAGCCACTTGCAATCCACTATAAGAGAGAAGTTTACAACTGGTTAACCAGATTCCCACCTTAGAATTCCTTAGCTACCTCTTGACCTGGACTTATGCTAGTCTCACCACTGGAGCTATTGTTGTCAATCAACAAATCTGCACCTTATACGATCCTCTTCTACGTGGTTGTTAAATCCTTGATCTTCAAACTTTGCTCGGTTGATTTGCTCATGCTTTATTGACTCTGATGTGACTTTTCTTTGATTTTCCTAATCACATATATTGAATGCTTTTATGGTAAACCCTGGATTGAATTTTGAAAGCTCTCTCTAAAAAATATAAAATCTCTCACATGTTTTAGAGACTTTTAGAGAGAGCCTAGACTGCCTATAAACATTTATTTATAGCCAATATAGGAGTCCCATGTAAAATAGGAAGTAAAATTCTTTTTAAAAATTTCGATCCTTAAAAAAATAGTGGATCAAAATCCTAATTTTGAAAATCCTAATTAAGACAATGGGTTGAGACTTTCAAACATTATACCTAGGTCATAACTGGTCTATAGGTTCTCAACTTCAAGGTTTGTGGCACTGTTATTAATTTCCATCATGTTCTTTCTGGTTTAGACAAACAACTAATGGCATTCGATGCGCATTAAAACCCAAGTTTTGAGTAGGAATTTGCAGACACCTGACCCACTAACCTAACCAAATTAAGTTAACATCTCATGTATTTTAACTTTTGGTAAGTTATCTAGTATTAGGATGTGTTTTTGGCTTGTTAAAAAACTGAAATGGTGAAAAATGTAAAAGAAGTGAGATTTTTAAACCTCACTCGCCAAAACTGTCTTTACAGATGTGATTTTTAGGTGGAGCATATGTCGGCCCAACAGGTTGCTCTTTGGTGGTACCATTAGGTAATGATGTTACTAAGTGGTAATGGCTAATATCTAATAACATGCTTCACCATGCAACTTTATTTTGGGCCTTTTCTTTTTCCAGATCAAACACGCTGGCATGGGATTATAATACATGTTCTTTAAATGCGAGTATGTTGGTTTTTTGACCTTCCACAATTACACTTTTTTTAGGCTTGGGCCAATTATATAAAATATGAGACACTGAACATAATCAACTGTTAAATTGTCCATACTTTTAATTTTTTTAAATTAAAAAAATTAAGTTTCTCACTTGTTAAAATTGTGGTGACTTTGCCTGTGCTAATATAAAGTCGTAAAAAGATTAAAAATATTGAACCTGCGTAATTGCTCATTTGTGTAACATGATGCTAAAGGCCTGATGGTTAGACGAGTAATCACATGTTATCTATGACTGAATTGGAGGTTAGTGGTATTTCAGGAGAAATTAGGAAACTTGATGAGGTTTCTAATTTTTCTCTTGTACCATAGTTGTCTAGGCGTTTCTATGATCTTGTAATTGAAGTTACATTCTTTGCCATTTTTGTTGTCAGGTTACTGTCATGAGCTATGCACCATAAGTTCAACAATTCACATGAATGAGGAAGTTGAGTTCATAGTCACCTGCAAGCAGTGCCACCACACCAGAGCTTTCACTGAAAGTGAAAGTCGTAATGAATCGCCAACTAGTCCCCTGCTCTTGAAAGGCCAAGAATTTCAGAATGCAGCAACAGTCACTAAAAGTGCTAGGGCAAAAGTTCATCATCAGCGATTAACAGCTGTTGGGACTTTGGAGAGTTCTTCCAAAATTAAACCAGCCACTCATAATTCCACTGTGGCAACAAAAAACCGTCGGGCGAAATGCTCTTGGGGTCTGATATGGAAGAAGCCGAATGTTGAAGATAATGGCCCCGATTTCAGATTAAAAAATATACTTTTAAAGGGCAATCCAAATACAAGTTGGTCAGGACCTAAATGTCACCTGTGCCATGAACCTTATAATCCTGATCTGATGTATATTCATTGTGAAACATGCAAAAGTAAGCCTGCTTTACATGGTAAGCTTTCATCTTCCTCGTTTTTGGCAATTGTATTTATGCATTAGTTTTGTGGTTATTTGCAGATTGGTATCATGCTGAAGCTCTTGAACTTGAGGAGTCAAAAATTTTTAAGCTTGTGGGGTTCAAATGTTGCAAGTGTCGTAGGATAAAATCACCTGTATGTCCTTACATGGATCCCACAAGCAAGAAACTGTCAGAAGGCAAGAAGCCCCACTCAAGGGCTCCAGTGGTAGGACTTCCTGGAATGGACCCTGATACTGGAGCCATTTATGGACAACTGAAAGGTGGGGAACCCACTACACCTATGCCACCCGCAAAGGAGGAACTCGTGCATGTACAGGAAGATGATCCTCTTCTTTTTGCTCTCTCAAGTGTTGAGCAATTTATGGAGAACAATTCAGAAATGGATTCTGAATGGAGTACTACTACTTCTGGGCATGGTCCTCGGAAACTACCAGTTAGAAGGCATATGAAACGTGAAAATGGTGTGAATGATTTTTCAGCAAATAAAACTTTTCATGTTGAATTATCTGCACCGCTTGAAGCAAACAGCCTCTCGAATCCTACAAAGGAACCATTCTCTTCTCATGTGGAATGGGATGTTTATTCCAATAACTTTGAAGATGATGTGATGTTCAACTATAATTACGAGGATATGGAGTTTGAACCCCAGACCTACTTCTCAATTACAGAGTTGCTGGCATCAGATAATGGTGACCAGTTGGATGGAGATGATGCATCTGGGGATGTAACAAGGAATTTGGACTCTGCACTTTCAGGGGATGGAAATACTGAGCACTATGCATTGAGCACTTCTACTGATCTGCAAGAACCTACAATTTCTGTAGAACCTGCTGGAGTTAACGAGCCTTGTAGGAAATGTTCCCACACGGAGCCATCTCCTGATATTTCTTGCCAGATTTGTGGGTTATAAAAAACAGCCAGTTTTCACCATGGGTTAACCGGTTGTCTTTGGAGTGGCAGCTGGAACTGTTGACTGCTGTGCAAGTGGATGTAATTGATATTTTTTGTTCAGCTTTTGGACTTCTTTTTGCCGTTTCAGGTTCAAAGGAAAGTTTGTAATGTTTGTGGTGAAATGGACCACACTTGATAATCTTTTGAAGTGAAAAGAGACTTGCAAATTGAGAATGCAGTACCTAGAAAAAAGATGAGTGGCAGGTTAACTGGTGATGTCTTTACTTGGAGAAGAATTCGTCTGAGGTCCATGGTGAACTTGATCTAAGCATGTTGTACTGTACGGCAATTCAATGGGCTCCCTCGGTTGATGTTGATCACTTTTGTTGACATGGCGGTGCTGCTCTTTGCAAGGTTCTCCCTTTGTTGATAGATTCCATTTTTTCTCCTTCCAAACCTTGGTTATCTTTAGTTTGCCAGTCTATTCATTGATCAGTGGTCGGGGGTTAGTATCATTTTTGAAGCTGTGAAATTTCTGTGACCTTGGATAAGCAATTTTTTTTGGTTCTTATCCGATTGTTTTGTTTCTATAAAACGGACTCCCAACAGAATTTCTTTTGAGATGAGTAAGGACTCGAACATCTTTTGATTGTTTGAAAGTGTGCTTGCCTCTATCTTCGTTGAATGTTGCCATCTTCTGGCAATGTGCTGCTAGCAGTAGTATTCTTTGCGGTGATAGCATACGAAATACCATCTCTAGAATTAAATTTGGATTTTGGACTTGGAACAAATGCTGCAGGTTGCAGCAAAATCAGGGGTTTGATGTAATTTATAGGGTTTTGATAAATGAAGCCTGCAATTGTTGAAGAGCTGTCGTGTCGTCAATACTTGGAATGTTGTAAAACTGAAGTTTGACACTACTATATTTTTATTTCTGTAGTGTTAATTAGATTAGAAAACCGGACTGATGGGTTCTCTCCTATTTAGAGCTCAATTTTGATGCAAGGGAATATGTACTTTTTAGAGTTGATTTTTCTCGATCTCACCTCCACATCAATTTTTTTCCTCATTATTTTCTCCCTTCATGATCGCAAGAGGATATTTATTTTTATTTTTATTTAGTTTACCCATCCTTTTAATCGCTACTTTGTTAGGTGTTACGCCCCATTGGGACCCAAACGAAACCCACAACAAATGCAACTTTTGTTTAAAATAATAATAAATAAGATGGAGGAACAGTTTCCCAACTGCATCTTAAATATTTACAAATTCTTCATAACACATTTTTAACAAGTTTTCAACATTAAAATGTAATTTTGCCAATAATAATAACACAGTTAAGAAAGGTTTAAAATTTATTAAATGATAATCATGTATTTTTTTGTTGTAAAACGAAACTCTTATGCAGATGCTTCGAAGTTCAGTGTATTAGTTATTAAATTTTATATCATAATATTAATAAAAAATATTTATTATTAGTATTATTTATTGATACCGTGGTACTCATATTTTATTTTTAAAATTTGCAGTATTACCATATTTGTATTGTATTTGCAGCTAGTATGTGTACATATTTTGGGTGGTATGATCACATTCACAAGGTTTTGCTCTATTTAGAATCTTAGATCACAATATTTACTCCAAATCTCTAGCAGAAAGAATCAGATTCCCCATTCTCTATAATAAGGTTTGCAACAATGAATCCAAACCATCTATTAAATCACTTTTACATCCTCCACCACACACCACTGCTCCCTCAATCATGTTTCTCCCTAAATCATGTTTTTCATGCCGGAGGTTTTTGAAAGTAAGCCCAGTGGATTATGAATCCATGGGATTCAGATTCAAAAACATTAATGGCATTTATATTTAATCTACTTATAATGTAAAGGTCATGATGAACTTTATAAATAGATTAAATATGTATGTCAATATTATTTCTAAATCTCTTATTTTTATGGAAAATATTTTGTATCTTTTGAGTTTCAAAACTTGTTATATTGTATGTAATAAGCACAGTGGATTATGAATCCATGGATTCTTTTTTTAGTTTCAAAACTCGTTACTCCCTCCGTCCCAAAATAATTGAGTATTTTGAAAGAAAAAAAAAAAAATATATATATATATATATGGGTATTTTGGAGATGTATATTGGAGTTCTATGTACAAACATTCTAGAATTGTGAAGATTGGCTCAGCATGCATTACGCATTATGGAATGTTTCTTGCGTCATTACGCGTGCACCTTCTGACATTATTTTCTGATGGTATGCACGTATAAGCTTTGCCAAGGAAACCTTTACTCGTGTCAAAGAGTGTAATATTTTGGTTTTAAAAAAGAAAAAGAAAAAGAAAAATGAAGTGCAATATTTAAATTAAAGTGCTTTAACATTAGTAGGATAATTTCTAAATATTTTCAAATGTTAAAGATATATAAGCAAATATTTATTCTAAAAGTAAGCAAATAATTTCTAGGAAGGATGTTTGCGCCTTCTTTATATAAATCTTTATTCTAAAAGTAATATCGATTATTACGGATATTTTAGGGTTTAAATAATAAAAAAAAAAATTAATCAAAATTGATTGTCAAAATGACAGCTTACACATATTTTCAACCGTTGGGAATTTATATGCACATGACAAAGTAGATACTAAAATGACAATAGTGCACATCGAAGCAGATAAGAGAGACCAACAATTTTATAGCTGTCCAGAAAACCTACCACACAATACTCGTCCAGTTTCTACGAGCATCCTCACTTCAAGCACAATCACAAGTAAACCATAACAACACACTAATGCTTACATTAAATTTTTTTTTTTCCCCCTCATTAATTAACTCATCAAAGATACAAATGTGGATTGACAAACAAATACAATTGATACAACTGGTTCTACTCCATGCAATTGCTCACATGCTGCTACTATTCATATTACAGAAACCACCCACCCACTTAATCATGGCTACATGAAAAAGAAGTAAAGAAAAAAGCACTATAGACCCACGCCCGGAAAAGAAAACCTCGAGAAACAGTATATTTGTGCAGAAAGAATCGCAAAGTGCCGACCGAACCCCCCACTCAAACACTAAGCCGATCATATATTACCTCGCATTTAATTCCGACAGCCCCAGCTTTGTATTGTTTGTCACCCACCTCTTGAATGGACAGATGGGCCGTTGTATAATCAATTTTACACACACATGATCTTCAATCAATCAATCACATACATCGTTTCAAAGCAACCCAGCAAGCATAGCACCAGGATCCGATAATGCACTTGGTGAGTTCGTTGGTTGAGCTTGTGCAGGTACCCGAGAAGCCGTTGGTATGCTAACTAATTGTTCCTTGACGAACTCCTTTAACCTGTATATATACGTGGTCAGACTATTGCAATTTCAAATAAAGGATAATAGAGAGGGGAACTTTTGCCGACATACTCGAATGTTAACATAGGGTCCCCCGAGGCAACTGTCACGCGCAACTGGGTTCTGTCTGCTGGATCTGTTTCAATTCTCATCTGCGTATTATCACCAAGAAAAGAGAATTAAAAAAAGAAAAAGAAAAAAGACAATCAGATACAGTATTTCACTAATGCCAATACCAATAAATTGACAATAATTGAAGGAATTAATGCTTTTTCAACAAATCCACTTTTAACTAGGCCAACCATAGCCATCAAAAGAGCTAAGAAGCGCAAGTTAAAGAAAAAACCTGACAACTCAGCAACATAAAGTAATGTTTCCCAACACTAGGCATCTAAATGGTAAATAATTTTCTCTGAATAGATAAAGTCAAGTAGGCCAAAATTGAAGGTATAGATGTTCAAGTCCACGAGTTTGACCTTAAATAACCCAGAATGATATCCTTAAGACAATGTAACCTTTTTTTTACTGCAATAAAGATCATAGGAAAAGAAACTAATAACTAGCAATAAAAGGACAATTATGCCTCACCAAGCACAACATGGCTCGTGTACTCTCTGAATAGAAGGTTGTACTTACAACCAAATTATTTGGATTTGGATCCTGAAAAAGGAAACCAAACAGTAAGCAAATTTGGGCATGCATGAGGGAACAACCAGGTAAAAAGAATTGAGAACTTACAAGTCCTGGGCAAACCATCATCCGGCAACTGTTAAATAAGTTTGCCATTTCCACGAGAGGCATTGGTCTTACACCTCTAATCTGCACAATTTTAGAAAGAAAAAAAAAAAATGGTTACAACCGGTGCATTTTACAGTGCTACATGTCAAGCATAGCTGAAGATTAACCATCAACCGAAACCCAACCATTCCTTTTAGATGCCAATTTTACTAAAAAGGCTTTGGCAGCATAATAACCTCGATTAGAATCATTATGGCAAAACCATTTATTCAGGAGTTTCGCAAAGCCCAGGCAAAATTAAAAATGAATAATCAATTACATTTCACCTAAGGACAATGAAATGACAAGACTTGGCACTCCATTTTAACAGGAGGTTGAATGTTTTAGTTGCCAGTTTCAGGCCCGGCATTGTCTCATCTTCAAACTCAATGGGAATGGTTATGGAGAATTCCAACATGATTTCCAAGAAATATTTCTGGATAAAAATCATTGCATCAAATCTCTTTAAAATACGCATGAATTAACTGTAGCAATGCAAATGTATGTGGAAATTACATTGACCAATATAATAGGACTTGTATCTTCGATATTAAAGCAGCAAATTATGTCATAGTAAGAAAGATAAAAGGAGGAGTAAAAGATCAAAACACACAAAAACAATTACTTACTACTTAGGTCAACCAGGAGGCAGGATGTACATACCACTTCTTGAAGTTTCAAAGGTGGTCCAGAAAGAGATCTCCATTGTGGGAAAAAGTCATCAGCAGACATCGAAATTGGCTGAAGAAATTTATTCAATACGGCAGGAAGGCGAAGTTTGACGTTTACCTACAGAAAGGCAACAAGAAGATGCATAAAACTAATAGTAATGTAACTAGATCCTTGTATAGCAGAAGCATAAAGCAAAGAAATTCTCATATAAGTAATACCACGTGTGTTCCAAACGTATAGGAAAAGTCAAGAACTGCTACGTCCCTACTTGGACGGAGGTTGACAACTTCAAGTGGGCATTGCACCTAATAACCAATAAATTAGACACAGTCAGGAGGGGTAAAAATACAAAAGATAAGAGCAGTTAAGCGATTCAACAACCAGTGATCAATTTAAAAATAAAACCAGTGATGTAACCTGTGCTCGTGGGGGAATAGTTTCAGGTACTAATGACAGCTCTATCTTCAAATGGGAAGGTGGCAATATCAAAGCTTGAACTGAAACAAGTGGAGCAGTGTTCTTGTTTCCCAAGAAAAGAACAAATCGCCCATGCTGTGCTCGCCACTCAGCTTTAATGCCAATCTGGGATGTCATTTAAAAAGAAAATCGCTATCAACTCCTATTACCATTCAATCAGCCTACTTGGAATAGAACAATAAGTCGTAATTAAGTTCCAACACATTACAGACATGGAAACTTTAGGACTGAATACCTGAATATAAGGATCCTCGTAAAGAACACCACTATCCTTAAGACATAAAGCGTTAAATCTGTCTGCAATATTTCCTATTGGCTGAAAACATGTAAGAAAAATGAGATAATAGAAAAATTAACAGAATTTAAATATCGCCACTACTTAAAATGAATGACTGCATATATTAACCAATTCATTTCAAAGTTGATAAAGCTAAATATATTGTAGCCAAGAAATGAGGTATGCTACTGATACATTACAGTATGGATTGACTAGACTATAAGAGATATCCCTACATAATAAAAGATACTATACCAAAGTCTGAACAATTCCCAGTTGAGTGCCCAACCACTGGACTTGGGGCTCAGTAGTTACGAGATGCCAGTCCAATAACAAAAATCAAGGGATCAAGCATTAAGTCCTGATTGGGCCAGTGCACGAGACTCCCTCCACTTTGAGGTCTGGGGAGGGATGTATGCAGCCTTATATTCGAGGCTGTTTCCCATTAACATCCAATTTAATAACTATACACATTCCAGGCAGTTTTTTGCTGTAAGTTTGGCAGTTCACACACTTCCCAAGAGTCCATAGTCCAGCATATCAATAATGGGTTTTGTGATGTTGTGGCCCGACGAATTTTTTACCCATTTTTTGCTCATGGGTCGTGGACTCTAATTAGTCTCTTGTTGCTCGATATATAAGGTCGCTTAGGGTTTGGAGTGGTGTAAGAGAGAGACTCTGAAATTCGTACAGAAACATAGTGAGGGGCTGAAAACTTGTAATCTCCAATTTTACACATAGTGAAGACTTTTGCCGGATCCCAACCGTGGATGTAGGCTGTTGCCGAACCACGTATAAATCTTTGTGTTCTTTGTGTGGTGTGTTTACTTTTCTGTCGTGATTCTTGGTTCTATCTTGGGTTCGTTGCGTTTGCCATAACAGGTTTCTTGGCAGCAGTAGGAGTGCATTTGGGGTCAACCTGGTTTTGGTATCGTGTTGCTCCCATTTTGACATGTGCAATGATTTGTGAACTGGTTTAGTTGTGTTGAGGCTTAATTCCTTCTTGTCGTGCTCACAGGGTAGCAATATGAGAGCTTCCCATATTATGTCAATACTTAAGCTCTGATACCCGTCAGAGTTGGGTGGCCAGAGACTGTCCAGTTGATCACATCCCAAAAGAAAACCAACCCAACAATTTGAACTGATACTGATGCACATTAATAGATAAATTCACAGTATTTCAAAAGGTCAAATTGGATCTGGCTGAATCAAGATGACTAATGAGGAAAAGCAACCTGGTCAAGGCAGGGAGTTGCAGCGGACCAAGCTAATTCAAACTGAAGAATTTTACATAATGCAAGAACCAACACTAGAATGGGAAACCAAACAATACTACTTTTCATAAATTTGCCCTGGTAGACACCTACCACATTCTTCCAACTAAGGGGCAATTCTTGAGTCCTCAAATTTTGCGGATTAGAGCGGTACCTGAATATGGGATTTGACTTGGTTAAACGGCACGCAAATTTGATCTATTGGGAAGTGATTTCGAAATTAAAACTGAAAAAAGCGGCATTGGGCAAAGACTGAAACACCAATGTCTTTGCTCCCGCTGTACAGACCACTAGCCAAGGGTTCAAAGATTTTATTTAATTCATCAAGACAAGTAGGCAAGTAAACATATGCTAAACAGTAAGCATATATATGAAAATGTACATATATCTTCCACACACGTGTACTATTGTGATCTGGAAACTCTCACAAACTTACAATATTCTAAAGTTCCTGCTCTTGCTCTATGCTCAGGTAACCTAGCGAGGCATCTCATCTCTAGGTCACACAAAACCTCCATTACTGCAACCTCTAATTATTTGATTAAATATATATGCTATTGTTGTATAAGCCAAGTCTAATTGGGCAATTCATGCAAAAAGAGGATGTAAAGAACAAAGTAAAAAATAACCAAATCAAGCTCTCATAGTAAATTTTATCACACAAACGCATTAAATCATTATGTATTACAGATGACTGTCATCTTTCAGAGAAACAAGAAAAAATATTTTATATTTTCCAATTTTTGAGTCAATGCCTCACGCAGATTATGCCTAAACATAAACTCAACTAGCTGATATAAGATCTACCTAATAATCACTGTCCGTCTAGGCTGAAAGGCATGCATTAACGTACTCAAAGTACTTTCTAAGAGGCAAATGCCCAGGCAACTACCGACTACATTGAGACAGATCTCAAATGTCAAATACAGAAGTATATTCTCCACAAATTTTAAGGTATTCACTTGTTCCAGGAGATTCATACTTCCAAAATTTCATTATTTTATTGGATACCAAACACTATATATTTCTAATAATATATGTTGAGCTTGCTAACAGATAGCTGCTACAAACTCAACATGCATAAAGAGTCTTAGAGAACAGTACAAAAAAGAAACACCAACGTCATCCAGTTATCAAATGAAACATAATAAATGATCGTTCAAAAAAAAACACTAAAGCGTGAATTAAATCAACCAAAAGCAGTACCTGGACAGCATTTGTCTGCTCATCAACAGGTGTAATGGCCAGGGTCTCTTCTGCGTTTGAAGCGCCTTCCAATCCAGATACCAAATTGTGCTCAGAATGGATGGCGGCACCAGGAGGGCCTTCAATAGCTGGTGGACCTAAGAGATCACCAAGGATATCAGGAGGTTGAGGATCCACTATGCTAAGAGCCCCATTTTCCTCGGTCAACCCTTCTGCTAAGTTATCATCCTGTCCAAAGAATCAACCTTATATTGATATTAAACAGAAACTGAAAACCAGTGAATCTTCAATGTCCTCTCTATGGATCATAAACATACACAAAAAGAAATCTCACCACATTGCTTATGCTAGGCACCTTTACCAGAGTAAGCTGGTTCACAGGTGGAGTTCCATTTGCTGGGCGTTGGTCAGTGACTACCAAAGCATTAGAAGTCTGCTGCTGGGCCCGCAACTTGATAGCACTTTGCTCCGCGGTATCAGCTTCAGTGTCTTCGGCTTTTTTGATCAATGCAGACTAAATTTTACAGAAGATATTCCAGTTAGAATAAATAATCTTTATACATGCATACATAAACAAATGAATACATTAGACATATAACCACCAGCCTATTCGGCTAAGCGCCTTAGCACGTATGAATATATAATATAACCTTTTAGAATGTGACAAGCCTAGCAATATATATATATATATATATATCAAAAGAATAATAGGAGAACAAACTGTTTACAATCAAACGTAGCAAAGACCAAACACATACCTGGCGCTCAGGAAACTTCGGCATTTCAGCCAATATATCCATTAAATCTGCACCTTTCCTACTCAATGCAAAATATTCAGCAGCTCTTTGCTGAATCTCAACATCAATGCAACTCTCGTATCTGAAATAATGAATGATAGTGTAAATAATTTCACGGGATTTTGTGACAAAGCACAAACTGTAACAGCTAAATTAACATCCAGTATTGGTTAATCTCACTTGCTGAATATTGCCCAGATTTGATTTTGTAGTTCCGGGTCTGGGGGTTGAGTGTGCATCAAAATCTTGGCATATGTTGAAAGAAGAATAGGAATTGTTGGAGTCCTGAAGGATGCATCATCTCAAATAAAATTATTAAATAATGAGCAGAAAATGTTATCAATAGAGGATAAGAAGAGCAAATGTTTGAGTGCCTTACGAAACAGTAGGAAGTTTCTCATGTATGATGCTAAAAATTTCCTTTGGACTGCATCCAGGCCGTCTAGCCAGAAGGTGGCTGTATTCGCCAAGGAGATAAGCACTTACCTGCGCCATACAACAAATTCCAAAATATATATTTATACAGTACAACTTATATGACCCAATAAAAAGTTATTTCCACAATTGACACAACCTCTCAAACAATCCTTGTAAGGCATTATTTATGTATATAAGATGTATTACGAAGAAAATGAAAAGCCCAAGAAAGAAAGAAACTGAAATTTTGCACGGGTACAGAGCTCAAGTTAATCAGGTGTACGGCATTAGTAAAACAAAAAACAAAATTTTAGCTCAGTCACAGAGCTCAACTCAATAGTGTATCAAAACAACTTGGGGTTCAATGCCAGCTTTTTCTACAATTCAGCACCACAGGTCCATAAAAATTTAAATTTTACAAGAGATTTACCATCATTGAACTATATAAAGGAATTTGAAGGCTCTCTCTTTCACATTTTGCGAAAAAATTAAATTAAGGATAGGCAGATTTGCGCACCTTGACCATTGTCTCATGTATAGCAGGCTTATCAAGATACTCCCTGGCTTTTACCGCTGCATAAGGCTGAAAAGAAATATAAAGTGCAAGAGAAATAGCAATAAGCTGAACCTCACATGAAGAGACAGCCACCAATGTAGTGAACTATGAAGCATGTAAAACAAAAGTTTTAGTCACCTGTAGGTCTTCGTTATTGGTAACAAACTGCACAACACGAAACCAAATGTCATCACTGACAAAATCTCCTGCTTTGTCGATCAACTGAAGGATCACGTCCACATACCTGCATAGTGACACAAAAATGATAAGGGTACCAATATTATGAAAAAAAATGTATTTTCAATTGCATAATTACATCAATACTTTTTAGTGAAGGCACCACATGAATCCAAAACTCCGAAAGTTCAAGATGGATAATTACAAAAAATAAACTTTCAACATAAATGCATTGACAGAAAAGGCGAGCAAAAAATTCAAACAGCATAAACTATGCATGTCCCTTACTTCAAATAGATGATTGTCAAAAATAAAGTGTGTCAACCTCCAATCCCCAACCCAGGCACAACCTTTTGACAGATAATGAGTCATCCACAAATTTTTCCACCTTCTAGGTTACCGTGTTTAAATATATGTTGGACTTAGATAGATGTGTTACATGTGGTGTGTCTAAGCGTCAATGTTATCAAATACCCAAACCGTTGGATACTAAAAAAAAAGTGAGACATTCACATTTCTAGAGTAGATCCGTGTTTTGTGTAACATAAAGTGTAAATTATAGGAAAGTCATATGTTTTGAAGTACTAAGTAACAAAAGAAACAAATAAAGATTTTAAGGTACAATTATGCATTAAACATGAATAATATGCTTTCAGGGTTCAGCTACTTTTTCATTTAGAGTGTCCATTAAAATAGGTTAGACAGGATCAAGGTTGAATTTTCCTACAAGTGCACTAAAAAATGAGGGAAAAAACCTTCCACTCTCTCCGTCCCAAAATTCTTGGCTGTTTTGGGGAATTCAACTTTTTATGATGGTAGGTTTTTAATATTTTTTTGTTGTATTGATAAGAGTGAATTTTTAAATTTATCCTTGCTAAAAGATAAAAGAGTTCTCCGAAATTAGTGCACTTGTTTAATAAAGTAAATGTCAAAACGGTAGTTTAGGAATGTTATAAAAAGTAGTACATCCATTTTAGGAATGGGACATGCATTTTGGGACGTCCCAAAATAGAAAGATGGACAAGTATTTTGGGATGAAGGGAGTATAACTTATTTTAAAAATTATAAATACCAAAGATGAAATGTTTAAATCAAAACCCAAAGTAATGCCATACCTTTTATTGGCTAATGGTGATATTATTCAAGTGAGACTGTTTTGTAACACTTCGAGTAATTTAAAGGAGAGAATAAGAGAACTGTGATGCCTTGATGATGTTCTTTGGTCTTTACTCATGGAATAACTAAATGAATTTTAAAGACAGGTTTTCTAGTCGTTTAGTTCCAGACTTTATGTAAATAAACTCTTTAATCTTAATCAAACAATCTCATGTTGCTTATTGTTGAAAGATATAAAATTGAAGAGAGAAATTTAAACATGAAGAACGCAAGGATAGACACAAAAAGCCCAAAGGGCTACATCACTCTTCTTATATTATCTCTTAATATTGTTTACAATCAGCACCTCTATTTATCAGTGAAAGAATACAAGTGATAAATATGAAAAATACATTGATCGAAGATTCATAAAATCAATCCCATAAATCACTCCAAGCAATATTCTATCATAGGCTAATAACACTCATACGATAATCTATAGAGTAGAGTATGTTAAACCTGCTCTGATACCATGTTGAAAGAAATAAAATTGAAGAGAAATATAAATATGAAGAACGTAAGGATAGACACACAAAGCCCCAAGGACTACATCACTCTTATTATATTATCTCTTAATATTGTTTACAATTAGCACCTCTATTTATAGGTCAAAGAATACAAGTGATAAATATGGAAAATACATTGATGGAGGATTCATAAAATCAATCCCATAAATCACTCCAATCAATATTCTATCATAGGTTAATATCACTCCTATGATATTCTCCAACACTTATACTGATAAAACCTAGCACCTTTATCAATAAATTTTGAGATTTAAAAGACTCTTCTATTCTAAACTTCCAAATTGGTCATTTGACATATTTGATTGTCTTTTATATCAAAACAAGTAAAAGAATCGGAAGGCGATATGGCAAACCTATAGGTCATAGGTTTCCATTTTCTACGAGGGATGAGACTGTAGGAGGAATGAATACACATAAATATATATATATATATATATATATTAAAAAGAAGAGACAGAAAATCCCAGATGGCTATGGTGGATTGTATAACGAGGACTAAAAAGTACTTGGACAATAAATTTTTCTACATATTCTCTCTGGCAATTCTGTTAGCCTATTTAACTAATATAGCCAAACAACTCTTTGGTAACTATATTACTTCGTATAACACTGCCACGGCCAATTTTGTAAACAGAAGAGCACAAATGTTCCAACCCGAAGGGCCTTTGTCATCAAACAAAGAGAGTATCATCATCACCTCCTCATTCTAATAAACATGAAAAACAGAAGGCAGTCACATAAAATATTGATAGCCAACCATATGAGAGTATGTTGATAACTACACAACCAGAAGGTTTAACCACATAAAAGCCATCAAATGGTCCTCTTTGCAGGATCCTTCATGATACTTTGATATTAACAGCCTCATTTTAAGCAATTGAAACTCAGACCAATATTTGCACCATTCTGAATTTTTTCCCTTGTCCATGTACGAAGACGACTTGTATGCAGTTGAAGACTCTCTTAGTTTTTTTCCTGAACAATTCTCTCTTAATTTCATTCTCATAGATGACAATCAATTTAATGTAATGAAAAACATTTTCTTTCTTATTTGGCATTAATCAACTGAAGTTCAAGACATGCTTTCAAATACACCTGTAGCATGCAATTACAGTTCAACTGGGAAACCACAATAATTTAAGAGTTGTAAAGTTAAACAGTTTCTTCTATACTTTAGACTATTAGAGGGTGGCCCTGATTTTGTATTCTTAAATATTCATATAAATCATGCAATAGAGTAGTTTTTTTTTTTTTTTTTTTTTTTTTGTTGTTGTTGTTGTTGTTGTTGTTGTTGTTGTTGGTAAATTGTGAATAACAATAATAATAATAATAATAAAACCTAGAGCTATTTGAGTTTTCCCACCGTGTCTACGGTTTCAGGAATGTGACTGAAAAAACACAAGCATTACCAAAATCTAATTTACAAAATTTTCACATCCTCAAGTCTTCTGCTGTATATGGCTAATTGAGATAAGAAATCGAAACCAGTAGCTATTCTTGAGACTATCATAAGGTGAAACATATAAATCATTCTCTCATTTCCTCAGATAGACTAAACTTTTGCAAACAACAGTAACCAATTTCATGCCCATGCATTCTAGAGGTTCAATGATTTAAAATCATGCATCAATTCAAGTATATCCTCTCTGATTATATTCAATTATCTGAACAGTATCATGTTCTACAATTCCATCCAAGTATGAAATATATGCCTCTTTAACAGAAGAACCATATTTACCATGATAGATCGGGGGCAAACTTTTCCGCAAGGATAGCAGCTTTCAAAGACAATTCTTCACGCATTGCAAAGTCAGCTGTGCTGAGATACTGAAAACAGATGAAGATCAGTTGCATGTTTCTTTTGTTCTCTTGCAAGGGAATTTGTCAGTCTTATTATTAGAAAGTGCAACTATAGATACTTCAGAAGGAACTGTCGCTTAAAATCAAATGAAGTTACCATTTTGTCTAGCAATATTGTACCTGCAACAATTCTTCAACTATGTCCTTTGCATTTGAAACATCACACATGCCATACAGTAGATCAAGAGCACGCCTCCGGATACTAGGGGTGTAAAGAAACATCTTTAGTAAGAAAAGGTAAATTTTAACTCAACAACTCAAAAGTAAAAATGATAATGACAGATATTCAAACAAAAAATGCTAGCACAATATGAAATCAAATTATGACCATTATTTTAAAAAAAAAAAAAAAAAAAAAAAAAAAAAGGTATTTGTTTCAAGAATCTAACTATAGAATTGATGGTAACTGCAAGTTATATAAGAGTTAGTTCAAATGTCCTTGATTTCACATTCTGAAACTTGGCCTGATTGATGAATCAGTATGGATGAAATCAACACTTCAGACCACTGAAACAGCACAGTACAGGCTATGGTATCAGGTAAAGAGATCCATGTAAAAAGTAAGATCCACGAAAGATGCACATTAAAATGATTTTCCAAATCCAAGATGACCAACGTTGTACGGTAAGGATGCAAGTTCAACAAAGCCGTCACCTAACATGTGCCTGACTAAATACTAATATATGCAGTGATGAAGGTAAATTATATCTCCAAGAAAACACAATGCTCAAGTTTAACCTGATGTCAGGATCCTTCAACGAGGTTATTATCTGGGCTTGGTGTCTTTTAATAATGTCCTGAACATCTGTAACCATCAACATCCGAGTCATATTCTCCTGCACCAAAGGAATACACACCATAAAATCAGACAGTAGAAACAAGGTCAACCTTCTAAGTTCAAACACTGCACACTCCAATTTGCTATGCTTCAGATAGAGGTTGTATGACAAAGAGAAAAAATTGTGTTCCCACACGACTTACCAAACCAAGATATCTAATATTTGGCTCACGCACAGCAATAAATTTCCCAAGCAAGGCAACACACTGAGACATCATATCTTTTTCAGCATCAAGATGCATGACCTGCGATAAGGTGGGTAGAATAAACAAAACCATAAAGAATCCCCCAAACAACCTTCATAAGGCAAAAACAATTCTCAAGCCAAACATGAAAATAGAAAATTCAAGCTAAGGACAGTAATTCTTTGAAAAATAATCAACAATCGACAGACATTTAAAAGGAATTCAGCAAACCCTGCATCCTACATGTTGGCAATCCAACCAACAGTCAGTGGCAGCACATGCAATGTGGGATTTTTCATCAATAGTTTCAGAAAGATATATCTAGACCATGAGAAATGAAAAAAAAAAAATAGAAGAAACAAATTAAAAAATTTCCTTTCTCCATCAAGACAAATTGGAAATCTGATAATCCTCCTATAACAGAACTCTTATAAGAACTGTTGATACCAAAAAGTTAAGAGATACAACATATTGAATAGTGGCAAAAAATGACCAAACCCATCAATCCGCCCAATAATTAATGGGTTTGGTTAAAATGGGTTGAATATGGGTACCCATATTCAACCCACATTCACTGGCCCATTATCTCACCTAATTCTTCACACACCAAAACCAACCTTAATTCTCCAATCTCATCTGCTGCTCTCTCTCTCTCTCTCCACCCACGTATTCTCTCTCTCTCTCTCTACGATTTCTCTCTCTATCATAATCCCTTTTTTTTTTTTTTCTCCCTCTCTCTCTCTCTTCGGCTCACTTAAGATCCCCCCTTTCTAAGATTTCCTCTCTATGAATATATATCTTGATATCCCTCTATTTCTATGATTTTTGTCCTCGTCTCTCTCTATATAAATATAAATATATATATATATATTTTTCTCCCTATAAAGCCAGTAGTATATCACTAATACAATAATACAATAAGGGTGAGGCACATAAACTTTTCACTGTTCACTGTGAATTTTTTTGCTCCTTATTCTACCAATGCATTTAACTTGATTTGGTAGGCACCACCATTTTTTGTTCCTCTCTTTACCAGTAGTACATCTCTGTACATAATTTAAAAATAAAAAAATAAAAACTGCGTATATTGAGTGATTTGGGTATTGTGAACAGGTCGGCTCTTGTAAATGAACCGGATCTTGTAAGCGGTTTGGGTTATGCAAAATGAAACAGGCCTTGTAAACGAGTCAACCCATGCTAACCTAGATCCAGATGATGTGAATGTTAAAATTTTATAAAATAGTATAAAAGTTGAGGAATTTTTTTAAAAAAAATTGTAGAATATATATGAATCAAATGGTTTTCAACCTTTTAATTACCTCACTTGAATAGAAAATTAGCAATTAAAATTAGTTTTTTTCTCAATTTTTTCATTACATTAAAATGGAAATAAAATTTTACTGAAAAATAGTAAGAATGTATTAAAAAGAAGAAGCAGAAGAAAGAAAGAAAGAAATTAAAACCGGTCATTGAGTCATTACGGGTTGACCCAACCCATATACAACCCGCTTCAATCGGTAGGATATGGATTACAACCCATATTCAACCCACCCACATTTGACACGGCCCAAATCCAACCCAACCCGCCCATTTGCCACTCCTAATTTTTTATTTTTTATTTTGATAAGTAAAATACATTTGCCACCCCTAATATTGAAGAAGGAATAGAAGAATTATACTCTAGCCACCAACAAAAAGGGCAAAAAAAACAACCGATCATCTTAAGAAAAGGCCACCAACGAGGCACACTCAGCAGCTGCAAACACCAATCAAGTATAAGGAATGCTTGAAGTGGACTGCAATTTTAGGCTTGGTTATTGTATCTACTGGAGAACATTAGGAAAGGTAGGAATCGAATGGCCAACGAATTTTTCCAACAAGATTCTAAAAGAAGGAATAATGCCATACACGTAGAATAAAAACACGTTAGTACCTATTTACAAAAACAAATGGGATACAAAATTGCAACAATTATAGAGGAATTAAATTAATGAATCATACAATGAAACTATGCGAAAGGATGACAGAGTAAAGATTAAGGGAAGAAACCACAATATCTGATAACCAATTTGGATTTATGCCAGCGAGATCCACAATGGATGTGGTTTACTTAATAAGACAACTAGTTGAAGAATGTAGGCATAAGTAAAAATATCTATATATGGTCTTTATAGATGTAGCAAAAACATATGATGGATTGCTAAGAGAAATGATCAGGTGGGCTTACAAAGAAAACAAATTCCTCTAGAAATGATAAACATTATTCAGGATATGTATGCAAACACCACGCACTATATGCAGTGAGACTAGTGACTTTTCTATTAACGTGCGATTGCACCAATGATCTACACTAAGTCTATATTTATTCACAATAACTTTAGATGAGATCCAAAAGACTTATGAGGAGACATTCCATGGTACATGTTTTGTGCCGATGACCTAGTGTTATTGGACATTTCTAAACAAAATTAGCAATAAAATTAGAAAGGTAGAAATGTGTTAGAATCAAAAGGTTTAAGAATTAGTAGGACTAAAACTGAATAGACGATTTTTTTTTTTTTTTTTTTTTTTGATAAAGTAAAAATTTAAATTTAGTGAAGAGTCGGATACTGATAATGTATTAGTCACAGTTCAAAACCAAAAGATTATGCAAAGTGACCATTTAGGGTCAAAAATATAAAAAAATAAAGCAGAGATGGACTAGTGATTTTTTTTTGCGCTAAAAGAATAAGAAAATAAACTAGAAGGAAAGTTTCATAGAACATTTCTTAGGCCAACTATTTTATACAGTGCGAAATGTTGGACTTTAAAAAATAAATAAGAACAGCGAATCCATGTAGCAAAAATTAAAATGTTAACATAGATTACAGTAGGAGTGACTACAAGAGAGAGAGTTACTGACCAAAATGTGAGGGAGAAATTAGGTGTGGTGCCTATTAGTGATGAAATACGAGAAAGTAGACTTAGGTGGTAAGAAGATGAAATCTAATTTACGTACAAGGTAAGGGACTTAGAGGACGATCAAAATCATTATGGAATGAAATTATTAAAAATGAATTTACAAGGTTAAAAATTATATGAGAGATGACCGGTAATAAAAAAGAACAGAAAAGAGAATTCATGTGGCTGGCTTGTAATAGAAAACAACAGAAAAAAAAAAATTCATGTGGCGGACCCCATTAAGGCAAGAATGATAATGATGGCAACTGTACCTTACGGGATTATAGTCACCACAACAGATCATTTCCCAACTCCTTGGGGACTGTATCTACAGGATTATCTGCTGTAAATATCTTTTATATTGACAATCCCATGAGACATGACATCGCAAATGTAACTGATATCGAAACATCAACATGGTCAGATCTCTCATGAGACATTTTTTTTGTTCAGATGTATGGTCCTCTAGTCAGTGCCCAAGTAACTCCTTCAGAAACCGAAATCACAAATCAAACCTCTCAACCAAATAGTTTCTTTCACTGCCTCAGTCACCACCATGTACTCCGCCTCTATTGCGTATAAAGGCTATTCAGAGCAAGTTGCTTTCCAACTGATGGTAAAACCCAAAAGAGCGAAGACATATCGCATCAGAGATTACCTTTCTATCTAAATCACCAGCATAATTAGAATCCACAAACCCAGAAACACTGCCTGAATCTTCATTGCCTCTACCATAAACTATATTCAAATCCATATACCCTTATTTATAAGTATTCAAATCCACATAACTTTGCAACGAGCCTTCTGCCTTACATCTCCAATTGCTGGAATTCCTTAATTCTTATTAAGACTCATTTGCAACCAGCAATTTCTTACTTTAGGTGGTTTCTCCAGCTACCAAATGTGATTCCTATGTATAGACTCAAATCACCTCACGATAGCAACAAACTACTAAGTAGATGTACTGGTTGTGACAGTTTCATGATAGGAGGAAGGATCGCTGAAGCAACTTAGCAAAAATGCAAACTTACAAGAGCAAGGGCTTCAAAGAGAACAGCATGTGATGCATTGTTCTTGTTCACATTTTTCACAACATCAGTTCCCATTAGTATCCGTTGTAAAACCTAAAATCACAGGAATAGAGTTCAGTTAAAATAATATAATCTAATAATATATAAAATAATTTACTTGTAAAGAAGAGAACCTCAAACAATGATCTTCTAGTATTTGGATCTTCGATGGTTGGAAAATATTGTAGGGCCCTCATAATCTTTACCTGCACTGACCAAATACTAGTCAGCATCAAATATAAGTTTGCATCAACTGTAAAAGTCAATTTAATAAAGCTATTACGTAAAATATAAATCAACTGAAACTCAAACATTCATTTTGAAACAAATTTAAGGCATTAGATCGGAAGGAAGAGAAAAACAGTTGAGAAAATTAATTGGAAAAATACTAAAATAACGTATTCTTCCAGAGAAGGTTGATGCCTTCGTGAATATATTGATGATCTTATTTCCTTCAAATCATTCATTGATATAAATATATATATGTATATGTATATGTATATGTATATATATATTTTAATAAGTAATATTGAATTAGAAAGCATCCAAACGGGATCTTTCAATTAATAATCATTCATTAATATTTAAAAAAACAAATAAATAAAAAGAAAAAGAAACAGTTAAGTGTAATCTTAATTTCATGCCCTTAAACATTATTTTTACTACTCTCTTAAGGTGCACCTATAGGAGCAACCTACAAAATGACAACCTTTGACATTAGCACCCTTTTCTTTTCTTTTTTCTAATTTTTTTTTCCACACTGAAGGTATAAATTGGCTGATAACATGCATATTGATTCCTTATCTACTAAGAGATCAATTCTCCCTCTGAGACTTGTAGAAAGGTGATCCCCAAAAGAGAAAAATAAAAAAGAAAAATAACAGATGCGAGAGAACTGGTGACAATGCCCAACATATATGCTATAAACCAACATGGCAAACTAATCAAATTAAAGGCAGTGCTTAAAGTCTCTGAATTACCTGCTTCTGCTTAAGCTACCACATGTACAATAAACAATGAAAACAATTTTAAGCTTTTAGTTCTGTTCTTTTCTTTTTTTGTTCTTTTTCCTCTTTTATATATTTTCTCCCTTTTTTGGTACACAAGGGAATACTCCAATGAGAAAAGCCTGCCATTGCTTTTAGATATGTGGGTTTGATCAGAGCCACTAAATAAATATATAGAATTTGAGGTAGACTTCCAAAATATAAAATAAGCTAAATCATCATACCAATTTTAAATCCATAAATAAGCGAGTTCAAAATAACAAACAACTGTATTTCATAAATCCACCCCAAAAATAATTTCTTAACATTTGGGTGGTGTGAAGGGAGAGCAGAGGGATGAAGAGTGAGAATGATGTAAAAAATAGAGCAAATACAAAAACGTCTTCTTCTTTTTTTCTCCTTTCTAAGCCAAATCCAATACACTAATGTCTGTGTTCCTGCTTGGCTCTTTCCACCCTTTTCATCCTCCCCCTCAACTCATCAAACATTTATGGGTAAAATTCATATTCCTTTTTCACTCGACAAAAAATAAAATAAACCTTTTTTTTTATAAGCAGAAAAAATAAAGCAAACTTCTTTGTTCAAAGGATTGATTTTTGATTTTGTGCTCTACTTCATGAAAAGTATCAATAAAAAATATATATATATATATATATATATATATATATATATAAAATAAAAAATAAAAAGAAAAAATAGACAAAACCATGTGAATCACTACTTGATTCAAATGATTCTCGCCAGCTTACATGAAATAATTTTACATACAGAGCACCTTGTTTTTCGCCTGGGCAAATTCATCCCCATTTGGCTTTGTTTGTCAAGGAATGGAAATTTCATAATAAAGCCCAACTGGCATTCCATTGTTGTCATGTTACATGTTATATGGTTACAATTATGTATGCTCCCAATGTACCTATGATGTAGCACCAGGTGGACCGGACCCAAAGTATAAGAGAAAGAACACGTCTGTATTCATGGATTTGGTTACCCTCGCTGGCAAGATTCATTTAGAAATTTCTATCGTTTATGTGAAATTTTATATTCATTTGATTCCAAATTTTCTTGGTTTCCCTTTATTTCCTTTGAAAATTTAGAATTAACGAATCTCAGTATCTAAAATCATTGCTGAAATTGGGTGCATAGACTTGCTAAGTTTGAAAGCCATTTCCAATATATCTAATGTGCCTGATGCATATAATTCATGAACATCAAAACTCATTATATATACAATTGATCCAAACAATATAATCCTACATAAATGGATTTAGAATTTTTATATTTTAAATCTGCTAAAATTCAAATATCCAGTTCCAAACCCTAATCCATTTATCCTAATCTCTCTATCACTACAAAATTTAGGGTTCCGTTATATTTGCTTGGTTTACTACAAAATTTTGTGTTATATATTTGATTCTTGAGCCACAGGCATTGATCAGAGCCAAACTGGCTGGTGATTAACTTTTGGCTAGTGTGAGGAAAGAGTTTTAGGAAAAGAGTACACAAACCTGAAGCCAGGGAGAAGGGATACCATAGTAAGTGTATTCTTGCGGAACATCCTGGTTCCTAGCAAGTCTTTCCAATATTTTAACACACTTTGGAACACAACTCCAATATGCATCATGGTTATTTGACACCAAGGCAACAAGAAGGCTCATAGAAGATGTCAAAACACCAAGATCACGTTCATCTAATAGCTGTGCCATTCGATCTGACCTGAAAAATGAATCACAAAAGACTTGATAATATAAGCGTAAGAAAGTTATCAGAAGGAAAATTTCCCAACCCAAACAATCTACATCCATTCATACCAGCCATCTACATTAACGACATCTGGATTTTTCCTATATAGGCGCAGGAGACACAGTGCTGCCTTCTTTCTCACAAGCGGTCGGCAACTGCTGGAAATCTGAAGCAAATGAAGTAGTTACCAGCATTTATATATCACTAATGCCAATTAAAGTCTAAAACTATTTCCTCTTACAAGTAATTTCTGAACATCAGGTGCTAATGATTCGGCAAACTCTCTTCCACCAATATTCCCAACCTGAATAGAGGCATACAAATTGGAAACAATATGGTAACCAATATGTGAACAATAATTATTTTTAAGAAGTAACCACACACACACACACAAACCAAAAAGAAAGAAAGAAAGAACAAATTCAAGTAAAACCAAAGGGGGGAAATATTCAATTGATATAAAACAAGTCTAGATTAATATATGAATATCAGATGCTTAATGGAATGACCTCTATACTCGTCTTCCATAAGTCAATATCAGCATTCAGACAGAAAAAAGTACAAAAGCATTATGACTTTAACATGCATTCATACTGAACATTCACTTTTCTTCTTCATTTTATTTTATTTTGGTGGGGGATGAGAGGTGTTTTGTGTGTGGAGATAAGACATGGGAAACTGATTAGGAAAGGATTGTGAAACGGGAAACAATAAAATATAGTTCAAGCTAGGAAAGGAAAAGCTTAACAGAAACAAGATTTACCCTTCCAAACTACCCTCCCTTGAATAAGAGGGCAGAAGTGCCACGTAATTGACATCATTGTGGAGCAGCCTACTTAACCAAAGCATCGGCTGGAACATTGATGGACCCCAGAAATCCATCCAAACTCAATTCCCAAGGCCATAAACTGATCAACAATCTTTCTAGTCAAACTATTGCATGTATCTGAGCCAATGACCATCGTACCCTTCCAAAGAAGTATCCGCCTTAATTACGAATCTAATGCTGTTCAGATTTGAGAACATGACAATAATATCCATAATGCATCTCAAAAGATGACCTAGATTTCTAATTGGTTTTAGACACAAGAAGGCAATGATCAAGATTAATTTAATTCTCAAAGGGGATGCCAGCATATAGCTGACATAACCTTATTTATGAACAACACAAAGACATAATGATCCAATCACTCGCAAAGAGGCTTAAGGTCACCCCTGTGAAATCCTTAAAGACAGATACCTGCAAGGAAAATTAATAATGAACCCTTCTCCAAAGATCCTCTCCACGGCAACGTATATTCATGTCAATGCTTTCATGCTCACAGTGCACAATTACCATTCCAGAAGCCAATATGTCCTCCTCGAGTGTTAGCTATCCCTAGTCTCTAATACTCCTCCTTCTTTCCGAGATTCCTTCGAGGATGGATCCTTCCTTAGGGTAAGGGCTCATCAAAGTAACCCAGATTCTAGCCAGGTTTCCCAGGATCCCACAAAACAAGAAGCCGCTATTGATTATACTCTATGTCTTGCTCTTGGGTGTGAATGACACCTTCAATTGTTCTAGTATTTCTTTTGAGCCACACAAAAGGGAGGGGCTCTGAATCATAAGGATTATCCATAGAAATTAAGGTCCCTGTTGTGGAGTTTATCTATAACGTATCCTAGAGGTTTATTTGTAAGAGAAGCTCCGTAATGTCTATAGTGAATTCATGCTTGGAGAGAGTGTAAGTGGTCAGCCATTGCTCAAGGTTTACCTAGAGAAGGGGAACTCCACGAGGTTTTCAATGTATCTTTGAGGTTATCTGTGGGAGAGGAACTCCCTGAGGTCCTCGAGATTTATACATAGGAAAGGAGTTCCTTGAGGTCTGTGCAAGTCCTCGAGGTTTATCTGTAGGAGAGGAACTCCTCTAGGCATTCTGCATGTCTTGGAGGTTTAATAAGAAAGGAGCTCCATGACGTTTTCAACCTGTCCTCAAGGATTTATTTGTTGAAAATGAACTCCTCGATATCATTTTTTTTAATGAGTTGATTGCTACCAAACCCATCGTGGGTTGGGTAACTCCTCGATATCATAAACATATCCTTGAAATTTATCCATACAAGAGGAGCTCTCGAAGGCGGCTTTAATATGTGTTCTCAAGGTTTATATTTGGGAGAACTCCTCAAGGTCTTCAAAGTGGGAAATGATCGCACAAAAAGATGGTGATGTGGAAATCTAAGTCAATTCATCACAACGAACTGGCTTAGAGACACACTTGTGGTGCTTATATGGCGATAAGCAAATACTAGGTCCTCACACGAGTCATTAACAACGAAATATCATTACACATTCAAAACAGCACATGCATCGTATGTTGCCATAACTAGCCACTTACCTATCATAAAAGGTCGTCCTAGATCTGTAAAAAATACAACAGGAGAAAAGAAAAGGAACTAATATTACAATAAGAAAATGTCAGGATTATACATTATTAATGCTTGGAATCTCTTCAACTGCTTTAGCTTTTGAATGTTCAAGGATAAAATTAAACATATATAAAAAATTATACATATGCATGACAAACTGCACAATAGCACTGAACAAACTGTACTGCATGCTTTAAAATAATGCCAAAATTATATAGAATTTTGCTCCATCCTCCAGCATATCTGCATATATTCTGACGAGATTCAATAAAACTATGAATCAAAACAGATGTTTTGTAGACGTACCAAAGTCAATGCCATGCACTGAAAAGTTTCATTGCGACCAATAATATCGTTGCGGACAGTGTTAATTGCTAATCTCAAAAAATCGTGATTCTCGTTGAGCAAGCAAGATGTCACTATGTACCCAACCTGCAGCCATTTATAGCATGACAAATGTTAATTAACCAAGAGACATGCCCTAAATTCTAAAAGAGGAAGCGAACGTCTGAGCACAAATAACTGGCCAAAAAAAAAAAAAAAAAACAGAAGCTATTTCATTTAAGAACCAAATGTGATTAAATTATAGTTCAAAGCCAATAATGATACTATATCTAAAGGATATTTCCTGACCTCCAAAATTCATTTTATTACATGTTGTTTCATATCACAATTCTGTTGAAGCAGGCAAACAAAAACATCAATTGCTGAGAACTGAACTATCATCATCATTCTTGCCTTTATCCCGTACCAACGGGGTCGGCCACATGGAGAGAACTGAACTATCAATAACAATAATTAATCTCATTGGACCCCCTGAATCAGGGGAGAGAGAGAGAGAGGGAAGGAAAAATCTTATGAACTCAGACAGAACATGAAGTTTTGGCCTCAAAAGGAAAATAGACTTGTGTGGAGGCATTAATACCTGATTCAAGAGCTCAAGAATATGTTCAATAGGGATATAGTGGAAGATATTGGGCCTTGAAACATCACATTTCACATCTTTCCATAAAATAACCTTAAACTTCAAAAAAAATTCAAACTTGATTATATAAATATTCAAACTTGAAAGGGAACTTGGTAATTCCTAAAGGAGACAATGCAATAATTACATGTCCCCTTAAAAAGTTATACTCCCCAAGTGTGACATCTAATATGGGACACGGAGTAATATTTATGCATCGATGCATTTCAATACAAACATTTTCTACAATCAGCATGAGAAGGGTGATTATAAGCAAAGATAGCACTTAATTAGCCATTCAAGCTCATTACAAGCCACTAAACAAACCAATTATTTATGTGAAAAGATGAGAATGGGTACATTATTAGAAAAAATTCGGAAGATACCTGCTTTTCTGGATACTTTGGTGAGGATATCAAAGAAACAGCTTCCATATGACCAAAATCTACATCGTAACCCAGCATATAAATGTAAAGCATCTTCCAAACATATTTCTTCTTCTCATAAGGGGTCAAACCCTGTCAAAAGGAAGAAAAATCAAATCAATAACCAAGGGCTACCATTCAAATATCAAAATACATTCTGCATATATTTAATATGATTAAAAGAGATAATCCACAAGTATGGACATGTAGATATGGACAACCATAAAATTAGGAATAACCAACATAAATAAGAACTGCTAATCAAAATAATAGAAAGGGAGTGAAAGCATTTTTTATTGTGCCAAAATCTTTGTAGCATAGCAAATAAAGTGTTGATATAAACATCTAAAGGGTACTAGGGAACCTTCCAGAAGGTGCTGGTATGGCCGTGGATTCTGGCCAGAGTTATGGGTGGCGGGTGTTGTAGATCCACCATTACTGAGTTCCTGAGCTCGCCTGAGAGGTGGGCTCAGGGATTCAATTCTTGCCGTTTGTCCAAAAAAAAAAAATTTCACACCTGCTCAAAAAGAATTCGTTGCCCGACAAATTGAGGCAAAAAATAAACACAGATAGAAGCTTCAGAAACATTGTTTCAGCAAAAAGAAATTGCTGCTAAGTATGGGTATGCATAACATTGTTTCAGCAGAAACATGTACTTTTCAGATAGTCCAACTAAAAATGACAATCTTACGATGATGTAGACAAGGAATGAATCATACAAGCAGAAGGGAAAGAAGAGAAATATCACGACTCAGGTTTATGTGATGAGGATAGATTTTTGTTCAAGCATCCAATTAATCAAATTCCAACTCTAAAGACACAGTTAAATTCATAACTTTTAATACTCTTAATTTAATTGTGTACCATAATTGCCACTTTATGTAATATAGAGTGTCAACATGGGTACCCAAAGGGCATACAAGTGGTATCTCCTCCTTCCAAATGGAAGGTTGAGGGTCGGAGTCCCTAATTGCACAAAAGGTTGTGTGCGCCGGAAAAAAACATGGGCACTTCAACCATCCTGAATCAATTATGTAACTAAAATAAATAAATAGAGATTTTTCAATACAATTATGTAAGATGTGCTTTCTAGGTACATGTCCAACCAGACATGTTGGCAACATTTCTCATACACATAACAAACTTTATGTTTCCTACGGCGATACTTTACTTGTTTAAAAGAAATTATGTAACATATGAAGAGATAGCAGTAGAGAAAAGTAAGACAAAAAATATAAATTGAGTTACACATTAAAAATAATGGCCCTAACAATCTCAATGAAGAACACTAATGTCAAACCATATCCCTTAATTAAAACTAGACCCAGCTCCAAGAATTAGATAACCATGACTAGTGCTCCCATAATGTCTGAATCAGCCAAGTACAGTGCTCTCATTACAAACTGGTGACTGAACTATTAAAAGCAACAACTGCCTCCCACCCTCTGATCTAAAGAAAATCCCGAAAACATACAAGTATACTTACACACCAGAAATAAAGTATTAATACTTCTTACTCATTACTAAGATTGCAACCACATTACCACCTAGAGGAACACCTGGAGATCCTCTTCTGGCACAACAAAATACAACCAATATTCCCCATGCTTTCATCCAACTACGTATAATAAAAACTCATCAATGAAAGCTGACCACATCAAGGGTACATGATCTCACAAAAAATGGGTTGTTCCCTAACAACTATGTCCTCAGATCACCACTTCTATTGTCCTCTTGACAAGAGGCAAGCATTCCATTAAATCAATCCCTGAGTATTCAAAACCTCAGTGTTAGGTTCCTACTCAATGATAGCATATATGAAGAAGCATCCTTTTCCCATAGTCGTTGAATTGTTTCTCCCAAGCTCTTTCAAATTTGTCTTGTAACCCAGGGCCCAGGCCATCTCTACCTATCCCTGTAGTTCGAAACATATACAGAAGGACACACTCCCCATTCATAAAATATATAACATCATTAATAATTCGTGATCCACTGTCAAACTTACTTTAGTACCAATAAACAATATTTAGATACTGGTGATTATCAAAACACTCAAAATAAACATATTCATGTCTCAATGTTCCAAAAAATGAAAATCATTCAATAAGCATCAATAACATAGCACCAAAAAGTTAACAAGAGAGGCACATCATGTAAATAATTTATACCACATTACAATCAGAAATTCAAATTCCAGTCAAAATCATTACCAAGGGCATTCTTACGTTGTTCTGGATATATGGAATTGAAGGGGTCCAAATCCATTGTTTAAAAGTTTTTTTTTTTTAATCAATGGATTTGGATTTGGTGCACATACATGTGTAAGTTTCAAATGCTCGTATATAAAAGTTTGTTGTAACAAAGGGCTTTTTTTCTTCTTCTTTTTTTGTTTCCACGCCATTTTATTTCATAAGTCTATCCCCGTCACAACTCACAACACAAAGCAAACAAGGATAATCATCTTACTCATTAAAATTAGATCCTAACCTTCACCAACTCTCTCTCTCTATTCAATCTTAGAAATTCACATCTGGGACATCAATCCCAGACACTCACTAATGAGTTGATGTTAACTTCTAGACAAACTCTGACTTATCAAAAAAAAAAAAACTTCTAGACAAACTCTGAACCTCACTTATTCATGGATTCTTGTATAATTTCAGATAATTGGATGATATGTCCCAACAGCATGGAATTTAATTTAAATGGGTACATCCAAATTCCAATCAATGTGATAATTAAACCACTGGCTTCAATTTTTTTTATTCAAATGTGTGAAATAAAAATCCACCAAATCATATTCTTTTTTTTTTATAAGTCAAAAAAATCCACCAAATCATATTCGAAAAACATATGCAACCTTGTTCCTTCCAATGTAGAAATGCAAAAGCATACTTATTCTTGGCTTCTTCAAGATGGAGGAGGACGGTTTCTCTTGGGTCTTCTCTGGTGTGTATGGGCCGGCGATGACTGCGATAGGCCAGTTTTGTGGGAGGAGCTTAGTGGGGTGAAGGGGAGGTGGCCTTTTCCTTGGTGCATGGCAGGAGATTCTAATGTGGTGAGATCACCGTCGGAGAGATCTACTGGGGGTCCATAGACCCCGGCTATGGTTCTTTTTTCAGAGTTTATTGATTGCCATCAGCTTATTGATCTTCCATTGGAGGGTGCTTCTTTTACTTGGTCCAGCGTAAGGGAGACGCCTACTTTTCCCTCCTGGATAGATTTTTGATCTCTGGAGAGTGGGAGGAGAAGTTTCTGGATGCTGTTTAGGCCGCTCTGGCTAAGGTTACGTCGGATCACATTCCTTTGGTTTTCGACTATGGAGAGTTGTGTCCACGTTGTACCCCCTTCAGATTTGAGAATATGTGGCTTAAGGCGGTGGATTTTCAGGGGTTGGTGCGATTTTGATGGGAGGAGGATTTGGTTGTGGGAACTTTGAGCTTCATTTTAGCAGGGAAACTTCGCCTTCTAAAAGACAAGCTCAAAAAATGGAATAAGGAGGTTTTTGGTAATATGGAATGGAGGAAGAATAGAGCCCTCGCTGACATTGCAGAGTTAGACAGATTGGAAGCAGTGTGTGGTCTTGTTGAGTCTCAACGTAATAAGAGAGCATCTTGTCAGGCTGAATGTGGTGAAATCGTGGTTTTGGAGGAGGTTTCGTGGCGTCAAAAATCTCGGGCCTTATGGCTCAAAGAGGGTTGACTGTAACACTAAGTTCTTTCATCGTACCGCCAATGCCCATAGGAGGGGCAACCACATTAGGCGGATGTGTGTGGATGGAACAATGTTGTGTTCTAAGGAGGAAGTGCGTACGGGGATTGTTTCTTTCTATACACTGAGCCTCTTCGTTGGAGGCTATGCCTCGATGGTCTTCATTTTGATTCTATTTCAGTAGAGGATAAGGGCTTAAGAGACCCTTTACGAAGGAGGAAGTTCTTTTGGTGTTGAGGAGTAGTAATGGCGACAAGGCTCCAGGTCCGATGGTTTCACTATGAGGTTCTTACTAGAGAGCTGGGAGGTTGTTCGTCAAAAGGTTATGGGCACTTTTCATGAGTTCTATTCTAATGGGAGGTTCGAAAAGTCATTGAATACTTCTTTATTGCCCTAATCCCCAAGAAGGGAGGGGCAACTGACATAAAGGACTTCAGACCCATTAGTCTGATTGGGTGTATGAATAAGTTGATCGCATTGGGTGTATGTATAAGCTGATCGCTAAAGTCCTTGCGCTACGATTGAGGGAGGTTCTGGACATTGTCATTTCTGATTCTCATAATGCATTTATTGGGGGTAGACAAATCCTAGATTCCACACTTATTGCCAGCGAATGTGTGGATTTTAGGCTCAGTAGTGGGATTCTTAGAGTTTTGTGCAAGTTGGACATCGAGAAAGCCTATGATCATGTTTGCTGGAACTTTATATTTTATCTGTTAGAGAGGATGGATTTCAGAGAGAAATGGAGGCGATGGATCGTTATTTGTGTCTCGTCTATCAGATTCTCGATGTTGGTTAATGGGTCCCCATTGGGGTTTTTTGGCAGCTCTCGTGGTTTGAGGCAAGGGGATCCTCTCTCCTCTTTCCTGTTTATCATTGTCATGGAAGCTCTTAGTAGGTTGATGAGACAGGCTATGGACTTGGGGTTCATTCGGGGCTTCAAGATTGGTTCAGACGCAACTCATCAGTTGGAAATTTCTCATCTGTTTTTTGCGAACGACACTCTGGTTTTTTGTGAGGCTGAGGTCTCCCAGTTGAGATATTTGCGATGTGTCCTTGTTTACTTTCAGGCAATCTCTGGGCTGAAAGTCAACATGGAAAAGAGTGTGATTATCCCTGTGGGAGATATTCAGGAGGTGGAGTCTCTCGCAGCTGTCCTAGGGTGTAGGACGAGCTCCTTCCCTATTTCTTATTTAGGCTTGCCTTTGGGTGTCTCGACTAGAAGAGTGGGAAGCTGGGACCCAGCGATTGAGCGTTTTGAGAGAAGGCTGGCAAGGTGGAAGAAGCAATACCTTTCAAAGGGGGGAAAAGTTACTCTGATGCAGAGCACTTTATCTAGTCTCCCAACTTATTTCCTTTCGCACTTCCAGATCCACTATACTGTTGTTGGAAGACTTGAGATGTTTCAACTGAATTTTTGGTGGGGCGGTAGAGGAGAGGAGTTTAAGTATCATCTTGTTCGATGGGAACAGGTTTGCAGGCCCTCAGGTTGGAAGGCTTAGGGATTAGAAGATTGGCCCCTTTCAACAGGGCCCTCCTAGGCAAGTGGCTTTGGAGATTCGGCAGTGAACGACACAGATTATGGAGGAAGGTTGTTTTTTGTCGATTTGGGGAGGAGAGGGGGGGATGATCAGCTAGACCGGTCAGGTCTACTGTCGGTGTGGGTGTTTGGAAATCTATTGGGAGAGGTTGGGATGAGTTCTCAAAGCACATTAGATTCAGAGTCCAGGAAGGAAGGAATATCCGGTTTTGGGAGGATGCTTGGTGCGAGGACCTTCCTTTGTCTTGTCTGTACCTGAGGTTGTTCAAGATTGCTGCTGATAGACACGCTATTGTTGCTGACTGCTATCGCCTTGATAGTGGTAGGTTGTCTTGGGATGTTTAGTTCCGGCGATCCTTTCAGGATTGGGAGTTGGATGAGGTCATTGGTTTGTTGGATCTTCTGTATAGACAGGAGGTGGATGGCACCGGGTCGGATTCTTTGACTTGGGTGCTTTCTCCTAGGGGGACGTTCCAAGTCCGGTCCTTTTTTCACCAGCTTTCAAGGTTTCGTGGATCCACCTTCCCGTGGAAAACGGTTTGGCGCTCGAAGGCTCCTCTTCGGGTGGCTTTCTTTATATGGACGGTTGTTTGGGGCAAGATCTTGATTCTGGACAACTTGAGGAAGAGACAACATGTTATCGTTAACCGGTGTTGCTTGTGCATGAATAATGGAGAGTCTATGGATCATCTTCTCTTGCACTGTCCCGTAACTCATGACTGCTGGAACCTTTTGTTGTGTCTCTTTGGTGTTCAGTGGGTTATGCCCCAGACTTCAAGAGATTTGATTGATTGTTGGAGGGGCCAAAGGGCGGGGGCGCGCGCCCGTAATTTTTGGAGAGTGATTCCCCTTTGTATTGGGGGGAGTCTTTGGAAAGAACGCAATTGAAGATCTTTTGAAAGGGAGGGGACCTCCATTGGGGCTTTGAAGTTCGCTATTCTTTGTTCTCTTTTTAGTTGGGGTATGGAGAGAGATTGTATTTCTTTGGATGAGATTATGGACTTTTTGGGTCGCTGGGTCCATAGATCTTATTTTTCTTTTACCTTTTCTCGTTTCTGTACCGCTCTTGAGACGCGTTCCCCTTTTGAACGCTTTCTCATACAATTTTACTTATCAAAAAAAAAAAAAAAAAAAAAAAAGAATCTGCTGAAACCTCCTTATGTTTCCCATACTTTCCATTACTTAAAAAGCGGTAAGGTCACCACCATGAGTCAGCTTTTAAAAGAGGCATTGCATGCCCTCTTACAAGGCGAATCCACATAGGTTCAGTTAATGTCAAATTCATCCACGTGAAAAATGAAATGAGTTCACCTTCAACTAAAATGGCTCCTGGGTAAGGAGTATGGACTACAAAATGCCATTTATCCTTTCTGCTGGGCACATAAAACTCTTCTACAAAACCACTACTTAAAAGATCACTAACCAATAATACTAAGAATTTGTCTCTAAATTAATCCAAGGTTTTTTGCTAAATTAGCTCATCAATAGAACAATTACGGTTGAAACCATTTGTGCTTAACGAAATTAACCATTCCAAATTACCTACCATTGCCTGCCCCTAGCTATAGTCCCAATTCAAAGAAATTGAAGGAAAAAAAAAAACACACACACACACACACACAAAAAGAAAGTACTGAAAAGTGACACCCTATCTGTCTACTCCCAGAAAATTATATTGACTAAATCAAGATATAATCTACAAAACTGCATATCATTGAGTTGAATAGCCTTGAAGCCAAATGAAGAGAATTTCAACATTTCATTGATCTTTATATAAGACGGTAGATCGAAAGATTGTACGGTGACGAAAGTTACAGAAAAAGATACATATACATATATGTGTGTGTTCATATATGTCTGTAAAGGATAAACCCTAACCTTCTCGTTTTTGAAACGGGTACGGACGTTGCCGAGCTCTTTATCGACCCGGAGGCGTTCCTGTTCTTTGTTCTGGCAATTCCGGATGTCGCTGATGAATACGGAGAGACCTCTCATGCCCGACCACGCCATGAGAGGACGCCTTAGTAGCTTCGGATCTTTCGACTCTCTATGTCTCTCTCTAGATCCTAGCCGTTCGTTTAGAGAACAAGAAAAGACGAGAGCGAGATCTTGCAGAAGAGCGAACGAGTGTGTAAAAATGGCGGTGATCCAGAGAGGAAAAGAGTGGTTTTAGAGGGAGGAGGAGAGGGGAGAAGGTGGACTGAGAAAATTTGGAAGAGCCGTCGGCCAGTGCAGAAGACGACTTTTACCAGTTGTGCATCATTTCAATTAATTTCCAACTGGGGGAAAAATAAAAATAAAAATAAAATATTAATACCCCGCAATAATTTCTATTTGTGTTCGTCCTAATATATGTTTTTGTTATATTGTTTCCGGGTCCCGTCCCGGTCCATCCAATAAAATAAATAAAAATATGAGGTATGGACTTATGGGGTCTGCTTAACTACAGTTGTCCTCTGTAGTTTTTTAATTGTGATCATGCATAGTGTTAAAATTTCATACTAAAATTAATTTGCATTATATTATATAAATCAGTTAAAATTTTATACACTATTTCTTTTGATTTTATTTGATTAAATTAAACAGTTAATATTTAGACCCTCTTGTATATATTTATTTTAATTTTTTTAAAAAAATTATTAAATGACATGAAGCAATAAATAGTTAATACATGTTTTATGGGGATGATATTAGGGTTAAGAAAAACTAAAAATGCTAAAGATTGTGCTATAACAGTATCTCATCTGTTTTCTTTTTTCAAAAAAAGTTATTAAAAAATATTGAGACTTTGTATATTTATAAATCTGCGTAATATAATAGATTGGGTGTTTCACGGTTTGACCAATTACTAGGTAGAGTTGACATCCAATTCATATAGGTGTTTCACGGTTTGACCAATTACTAGGTAGAGTTGACATCCAATTCATATAAATACATTCACTTTTTTATTTTGATCGGACGTGTGATAAGTTTTCTTTTAGGTAGAGTTGACACCCAATTCATAAAAATATATTCATTTTTTCATTTTGATCGGACGTGAGATAAGTTTTCTTATAACACCTATGCCACCTCACACTGAGTTGTTAAGATAAAAATAAATTTTAGAAGAGACTTTAAATGTATTGAAGTATAAGTTATATAACCATCCGATAGTATCATATCAGCAACAAACGTAACCCAGAACAGATATATGAGAGCACTATAAATGGAACTTCAAAATTCACAAAATTACCTTTTATATCAATCATTTTGGAGATCAGGAGGAAGAATTTTCTAAACAACCCCATGTAGTGGATTATGAAGCACTTTAAGAGACACCACCATCCTCTAAAAATATATGGAAAATGATAAGGGGGCAAAGAATAACTCTCGAAAAAAATGATCGAATTTAACCGTGGCCAAGCTATTTAAAATTTTATAAATCATTGCACATGAAGAGTAAAAAAGTCATCACGTACTTAGCTCACCCCCAAAAATAAATTGAAAAAAAAAAAGTTGTTTGAGAAGAATACGAGGAAGGTAATGGAACCATAGACACTGTGAAAATGACCTGAAGAAGGTGGGTATATATATAAATAGAAATATATATATATATACATACATACAATTACATATATGTTGGTAACAGATCATAAATATTCAAAGATTTTTTTTCTATAAATTTCTCAATAGATTTAGGTATTATTCAATGATCTAATTTTAAGAATTACATGATCATCTTGTATTCGAATCACACAAAAAAATTCGGGAGTATTCACAACATCACTCTTTGATTCGGAATTGGTTTTCTCTCTGCATGGGGTTTTGAATCAGTTTTCTTCTTCAGCATCAATTCAATTGGTACAATGATTTAATTTGATGTATCTAGTCCGTGTAAATTATAAAATATACCAATTACGAAAAACAAAAAAAATTAAAATATACTACGTAACAAGATAAAAATAAGTCAATTCTTAAAAAAATGATAAAAATAAGTTCTCTCTAATTTTAGAAACTAATGAGTTTTCGGATATTCCTTTTTCATGATATACTCTTTTACTTGACGTGGATGATTAATTCAGGATATCTTTCGGTCTCCATTACTGCTCAATATATATATATATATAGAAACCCTTGGACATGTGACATAACAGTAGTTATAATCCCTTGGACACGTGACATGACCGTAGTTATAATCCCTTGGAGACATAACAGTAGTTATAATAGAATTATGTGTACATTTAATAAACAAAAGACTAAATATTAGTAGCATCTACGACAATTAGCATCATAAGCTTTACGTACACTTTCCAAAAAATAAAAATAAAAATAAAAATAAAAATGTAGAACATCTCATCAAATAACCGTCATGCAGTATAAAAATCAGTTAGACATCATGTATTGGGCATTGACCATTTGGATTATTGGTTAAAAGTTAAAACATGATTTAACCCTAAGATAGTTTTTAGGAATAAAAGAAAATAGATGGGGGGCTCATATTAATCAAACAGAGTGCATTGCCACCAAAACTAAATCTATCGAGCCTCAGCTAATCTGGGTTAAAAACAGTAAGAGAATTTTTAGGAATAAAGAGCAAAATCGGTTACATCGATTGAACACAAGCCAATAAAAACCTTTCATATAATTTCATTGGTTGACAAATTTACAATCTTGTTTAGAAATACTGTACATGTATAACCCAAGGAAATAAAAACAACATCATCAATGACTATGTTTTGTGATTGAAACACACTGTATAATTATATATACTCCTCTATAAGCTCCACCCAGAAACAGTTGTTGCATATTTCAGTCCCACCTTCAAAAGGTGAAAAATCATCCCCACCAAGCTATAAAGGAAGAGAGGAAGAACATTTCCATCTACATGAGAGGAAGCGTGACATTTCACCAAAAACAGTTCTGTGGCACAGACCATGGCTTCAAATTAGCCACCCTTTTTTGAAGTATTGCTCATCTTTAATACAACACACAGACTTCTTGTATTCTAAGCACTCAAAATAAAGAGAAACTTTTCCGATGGCTGGAATGACGGGAAAGCCGTACCTGCTGCTCGACTGATCCTCTTGGCGATGGCCCTTTGCTTTCAACGATATCTGCTTTAGCATCTGAGGACCGTGGAAGAAACTTGCACCCAATTCCCCGTGCAATAAAGCGGGGAGAACTGAGGGAACTGTGTGATTTAGTCACCCTTTTCATCTCTAGCTTTATTTTATTGAATTCTTCTTCCAGTTCCCCAACTTTAGATCTCATCTTTTCCATGTCCACCTTTAAAACCTGGTTCTCACGCACCACGGACACCCATCCATCTCTCTGTACAAGCTGGCCCACCATGTCACCTGGGACCGTAACCGGACCAGGAGGGGCACTTTCAGCATCCAAGACATGAAGACAACCAGCTAGAGCTGTTCTCAACTGCAACTGCTCGAAGAACAGAACCTGAAGAACTATTCTAAGTGGCAACCTTTCATTTTGAGATGCATGGGCACAAGCATCGATAGAGAGCTTCTGATAGTCCATGATATTGCACAGTTGTTCTTTCTCTTTATCTGAAAGCCAAGGGTGTGCCTGCACAACACCATGAGTCCCGGTAAAGCCTCCAATACAAAAAAGAAGCATTTATTTTAATAATTGATCCAACAAAAGGTTTTACACAGGTTATATGAACTGTAGACACTGAAACGCGGAGGTCCCAACTCTAAATCGAGAAAGCTCAGTGAACTGTACTTAGCAAGCTTCTGAGATGAATCTAGTTCTCCAAATATGACTATATTTGCTGAGTCAGAAAAGATTATAGTGGTCAAAATAGCATTTCTTATCTATTCTTTTTCTCTCCCTATATCTCCCTGCTTCCTGTATTGGGTTGGATAAAAATTAAGTACTAAAAGAAAAATGACTATGCAGAGTTTCGAGGTTTCACAGAATGGGAATATAACCTCTTCCGTATCAATTGAGGACACAGATCCATCCTTCAGAAAAATTTAAAATAAAAAGAATAGTCGTCAATAAAATGTTAAGAAGGCCTAGCGGTACCAGGCCCCTACTTCTCAAATAGAGGTTAGGGGTTCGAGCCTCAGTGGAGGCATGTGTGTGTGAGTACCAACTAAGGAAGAAAAAAAAAAAAATCATTCATATATTAATCAGAATAATTCCCTGGGATATCCCAACACCCCATGAGTCTATCAGTCTATGTATGGAGGAGATTGAGTAGATAGATTCAAACCTTGAAATATATATCCAGTGCTCTGTATAGCCCATCATGCAAAGGTCTCGAAGAATCTGGTAGGGATTCTGCAAGTGAACGTATCTTTCCAGGTTTTAAGTTCACGTCAGAAGCAACCTCTGCCATGTAGCTATCTATCAACTTTGCGACTTTTCTTAATGGTCCAGATGAGGGTGATGATTCTAGGTCAAATGATGATGGCGAAAATGTAGTTGCACTTGGTTCTAAAGAGATGAAATGATGAGTAATTCGTTCAACACAGTCAGTGTTATATAAAGCATCAGAATCTGAATACGTAGGTATCAGTAGACAATCAAGGGTTGCCAGTTCCAGCTGCATCCCTATTCTCCTCTCCAGAAAGTCCTGACATGTATGATTAACACCCAGTATCAAAGCAACACGAAGAAGTCCCAATAGAAAACGGCAAAAAGATTTCCCCTTCTTTTGGGGGAGCAGCTTTACAATGCTTTCCAGCAGAACCTTCTGGTCCACAGCAGCAGGTGTCATGCTGAAACTTGCAACTGTAATAGCTTTTCCACTTGGTCCACCCTGCCACCGGCCCAAACCTGGAAGGTACTTTCTAGCATAATACATTATAGCACCTGCTAAGTTTTCAGGTCTTATTCCTCTTTCTTCCATTCTCTGAATAAGTCTTTCAAACAAACCCACACTTAGATATGATATGTCTTCAAACCACCAGTCAGATTCTGAGCTCCGAATCCTTGCACCAGTGTTTATGCCATTCCACAGGATGCTTCCACCAGGGCTCTGCAAGCTACCATACATCATCATGGGCCATCCAAACAAACTAGGATCCGTGCAAACCATCATAGATAGAACATTCAAACATTTGCTAGTTATTTGGAGCTTGTCAGCTCTTGCTATGACAGGTTCACAACTTTGAAGAGACACAACACAATCTTTCCAGTTCTGGAGTATATTCTTATGGAAGAAACTCTCTGACTTTGACAATAAGTTACCTTCTCCATTCTCATCTGTCATTTCAAGGTAGTCTGCTGCACAATACACCATCACTATGTTCCTTGGTGTAAATTCCACCCGGACACCATAGCAGAATTTAGCTGCAACCAAGAAAGTGTCAGGACCACCAGGAAACTCTTCTAAAGCCATGGTGAATGTCCCGTCGTGGATACTTTGAGATTCTTCAACCATTTTCGCTATCTTCCCACAATTTGACATGAGAGGAAACTGAGGATCATACATTGATGTATATTATTAGAATATAGAGTAGAAAGGAAGACAAGTCTTTTACCATATCGAAGACAGTACAACAACAAACATATATGTAAAGCAAAAAACATCAACATTTTCCTTAGGCAGTTTGTTATGATAATATCAACTAAAAGAGTACAGGAGTATCACATTAAGTATAAATGACAATTTTTTTTAATTGATAGATTCAATAAGAACTGATAGAATAGAATATATAAAACAAAGAATCAAAGAAGACAGTGAATGAAATAATGAGCAAACCAGCTATAAATCTTCTCAACCAGAGAAGAAAAAAAGGAAATAAAATTTTCAGAAAGTTTCCTCTTCACCAGTGAAATTGTTCAAATGCCATATTCAGTTTCTTTGGGGTTTATTTTCCAGCTGTTTGAAGCACTCATATATCTGGGAAATTACACGAGACTTTGGTACAGAAACAAGCATGACCAACTGCGAGGCTCAACCCTAGTAGAACATGAATTCAATTATTTAGACAGGGCATGACCACTTCAAGGATTCATTAGAGTCTTAGACCAATTTCTTAGAACTTCGATGTGGACATTCCCCCAAAACTAGCCAAACAATTCTCGATTAAACACATTTATGGGCTTTGCTTTCAATGATTTTGTGGAAGTAGTTATTTCAACATGCCATTATGAATCTGAAGGGGAACATTTGGAAAATGGAAATGGGTTTCTGAAATGAAGGGTTCGGATGAGTTGTCTCCAGGGTAAAAGCACTTGTGCCAGTTTATCCTGGATTATTCTGTCCCTCTGCTGATAATTGCCCAAATCAGTAATGGATAATGGCTCAGTTCCAAGAAAAAGTGATGAAACCGTGAATAAATCATATTCTTGAAGACATTAGAGAATTGGTGTCAAACTAAGCCGTGTGAAGGTATTGAAACAATCACGGATGCCCAACATGAAAAAAATTAAAACTTAAAACTCCTCAAATGTTGTTTGGGACAGTGATGTTGGATTTTACCATGTCAAAGATTATTTAGGCTTTTCAATTTTATACTCCTATGTTCTATTTTGAACCATATTCTACTGTGTCAAAGATTATGCAAGACAGCACAAGGGTGGATTGATCCTAATCTCTTGTAGCAGTATCACCATAACTAATGGAAGGTGAGTTCTTCTCAGCTGAGCAAAATTGATGGGGATCAAGATGAAATCCACACAAACGTGTTGACATGATCTTCACCTATGTTTCACATGGGGAAAAGATAGATGGGGATAAATTTATTTTCCTTATTATTAGGTATTTGTTGTTTGTATTTTTAGAAGTATATATTTCTGAATTATTTATTAATTAGGCTTGGTGTAGGATTTGATTATATACAAGGCCTTCATGTAATAAGATTATTGCTTGATAATTGAATTTTAGATTATTGCAAAATTTTATCCCTAAGATCTGTTTCTCTCCTCCACTCTAACTTTTCTTTCCTGTTCTTTCTTCTTCTCTTCCCCTCTTCTCTCTTCGTCTCTCCTGCATTAGTCGGTATCATATCGTGCATCAATTTGGAATCAAAGCTCATTGTTATTCTTCATCATTCCTACTCAGCCTGCACCATCTCCAAAAAATCAAAAGCTGATCTAGGCACCCATGACATTCCAAAGAGAAAGAAAAATAGGGAACAAAAGTCCCTGACCAACGGATAATGCTCAATAATGGCTCATCATCACCACATCCCTTTATACATGGATCCATCACCTCCCACTCTGAACCCTGCATCACCGTGATGAAACAAAGATCCCAAAGCACTGCCTTTGGAACCCATATACATCTACAAGTAGGGCCTTTGTTCTCTCTCTCCGTGTTGATTGATGAACTTACTGCATATGTTCAGGAAAAAGCCAGTTGGAGCTTCAATTTTTCTTTTTCTTTTTTTTGGATCATATAGTTTTGGCTAGCAAAATTAGTCAGAATTGTGGGAAATGCTTTAAATACTCTGGCTTAAGAACAAAAAGTATATTGAATGTAATTTAATAATTATTGGGATAAAATTGAGAAATTGATCAAAGATCTTGAGTGACCTAAAATCATTGTTTCCATTATCTTGGTTAGGTCACCTTTAACAAGAGACTGAAAATGTTGTGACAAATAGAACAAAAAAGGGATGGGGAAATTGGATAAGAAATTCTAGTGCATATAGAAAAATAAATATCAAATTAAAGGGGGTGGTACACATTGCTAGATAACAAAGGAACAAATATCCATAGAAGGGCATAGTTAAAAATGAGGGTGCTAAGAGGATTAATGAGTAGCAACACAAGAAAAAATTACAATACCAAATGCATATCCATGATAAGATCATCATAATGAAATTCATGACAAAATGAAGAAAATTTTATAAGGTGGTTTTGGCCATACTCAGGAGCACCAAATAAATACCCTAATGCTATGTTCAGTTGCATGGAATTGGTGCTTTGGATTTGGAGAAAATTTAGCTCAAACTTCAAACTAAATTTTCTCCAATTCCAATTCCATGCAGCCGAACATAGCATAAAGGTTATGGCGCATGAGGAGTTCGTTCAAATGGAAGGGAAAAAAGCGGTGACACATGACAGCATATAATTTAACGAAGGATATGGCGCTGAGATTTGCTCGACTTTCTTAAGACATTAAGCACGATCTTTTTCTCCAAATTAGTCCAAATGAAAAATAGAACCTCTACAGAATTTGGTGTAAGGTTTAACCCCAACAACGTATTTCTAGGGAAGCATGGAGAGTGGCAGAGGCTATACTTAAGTGACAAAGATGCAAATACTTAAATCACTGTAGTTTATCTGGGAAAATTAGAAGCATTACTGCACGAAAATCCCCTCCCAAGATCAATCTTGATTTCCCCCACCCAAAGGCCCAAGATTTCGTAAACCTATGGTAAATGCTGGACAACTACAGAATGTAGACCATTGTGAAAATAAAACTGAAAGATGCTATAACTTTACGTAGACATTAGATTTCAAAAGAAGAATTTTGATATCGAGAAACGAGCCATAAAGTGTCAGTAGCAAATTCAAACATTTGAATTAGAAAATGAAAAGAAAAGAAAAAGATTGTTCTAAGAACTTCAAGATCTGCGGCTTCTCGAGATAACTCTTGGACAAATTTAACATTCAAAAATGAATATTAGCTTAAACACATTAATTTTTCTTTATTGATATAGAATCAGGTAAAACTATTACAACATTATAAGTTTCTAGTAAGCATGAACCTCCACAGACATTGAAGAAAGAAAAATATGTAAAAGTTCATCTACACATCGGAAAGGCAAACTGACAGAATGTTCTTATCGTGTCTCACATACATTTTAGAATGTTAGGAAGAAATGACAATACCTTGTGAAGATGGAAGTTCACGCTGTCTATGGAAATAGTGATGTCGCTCGGCAAACCTGCATTGCAGAACCTGTCATATCCATGTAAAAATTTTCACACAACGCATCCCTCTCTTAACTCCATAAAAAGCTAAATAACTCATTCCACGAAATTGGTCACCCTCACCAATGGGCATTAGTCCAGATGGTATGATCTCTCTTACCCAGAAGAGAGGTTGAGTGTTCGAGCCCCTGCTAGGGGCAATGAAGTGAGTGTTTGTGTTTACTTAAACTTTCGAAAATTAAAAATTAATAAAAAATGGATCAACCTCAGAGCCAAGGTCGCTCCCCATTTCAAACAACAACTTGCAATCCAATTCCTATGATATCAGTCGGGTTCTCCATAAGCTTCAGATTCGACTGGAAGCTTCAGATTGGGTAAAATTCTTTCCCACTCTTCTTCTCCCAAGCTGTTTATTTCACAAATTCATCCTTCCAATCCGTGTTGATTCATGAATTTTATTTATTTATTGGCAAGTTAATTAATGAAATTCAATAAACATACAATTATTTATAAATAAATATAAAAAAAATCTGCAATTCAAGCAAGTGTAAACTGTTTTTAGACTCTAAATACAGAGCTATACATCCTAAGACATGAAATTGATATAGAATATGATATAAAATTGAATCAAAGAGCATTAAAGAAACTTTAGAGAGAGAGAGAGAGAACATACCAGTCAGTGCCCTCTCGGTAAAGCCCAGAAACCTTCCCAGCAGGAGGCATAATTGACCCCAAACAGACTCACCTCTCTCTCTCTCTCTCTCAACAGAGTCCAACCCAATTCATAACATCAATTCATCAAACACCCAAATACCAACATCACATCAACAAATCAAGAGTAAAAAAAAGAAAAGAAAAAAGAGGTAGACCAACAAACAAGGGTCTGGAAGGCAGTCAGTCCATAGAGTCAGTAAAAGTTCATCTGGGTCGTTAAATTATAGAGAAAGCAAAGGTGAGTCTTTACACCTAAGTGCGTGGGATTATAAAAAGCGAACTGAGTACCAGTAACAACCCCAACACAATCCAACAACAAAGCCACTGTAGTGTATACCATATAATATAATTATAGATATATATATATATATATATATATATATATATATATATTTCTAAACAAAAGCAAACGCACAGATCACGACACAGAACCGGCTTAAGAATAAAAGTGGGTATTTGTGAGAAGAATCGAACATTGGGTGGTCAATTTTGACAGATAACTATAAGCACAGCCACCACTAAATGATAGTAACTCCCATTGTGTAGAACATGCGTGCGCTCTGTGTGAGAGAGAGAAAAATTAGGCAGATTTAGGCCTGCCGACTATGGAGGAATTGGGTGGATCTGGGTAATCTACCTTGAGTAATTCATCCATTTTCAACAAAGTTTTGTGTCATCTATTTGTGAAGTGTGAATGAATTGAGGAGCTTGAGAAATGGTAAGAGATTTGGGACCCACCAACAGTAGTCGTTGTGGGCCTCACGTCCAGATCATCTGAGAAGAGCTGACAAGCCTGACAGTAGTCCTGCTTCCATCCTTCTCTGGTCAAAAGTCAAACAAGTGTACTTATATATTTGACAGCCAAAACAATATATATTGTATAATTATATATGTAATGTATATATGCATCAGCGTTTGTAAGGAACAATAAAACTCCATAACGGTCCGAATTTTATAAAGTGAAACTGCTTTTCAATTTCGTTATAATATTGCTCCTTAAGTAAAATTTATTGAAAATTTATGATTTTTTATTTATTTTTTGTATGAATAATCAACTCACCTTCCACAAACCAAGAAGTACTAGTAATGGACTAACCTGAGCTATAGTTAAGGTCCAATTAAAAAAAAAAATTAGTACTATTGTTTCTATAAACCCATGTACAACTCTTTCTTTTCCTATCAGCTCAGCACAGTCCATAGTATTTTTATAAATAAAAAAAATTATAAAATTTACAAAGATCAAGCCTTAAATATGAGCAAGCCCACGAACCATAGACATGCCTAATCACAAAATAAACCATAATAAAATATAATAGGGTCCAGCCCGGTAAATCAAACACATTGTTAGTCTATGGAAAAAGACCTAAACTCTTCGTGTGTAAGACACTAAGGCATAGGTGGATGGATATCATGAATTATTATTGTTAATCCAGTGAAATATTGAATTTTATTTTTGTATAAAAAAAAAAAAAAAAAAAAAAAAGAAAAAAGGGATTTGTTGATAACTTGATAATTTCTTGTTAAATTGGGTAATTTACTATATTATGGATTAATAACTAATCAGGGGCGGAGCACATAAGTCTTACATTATAATGTGAATTTATTGATAAGGAACATATATATCTTACATTCTTGTAGTTGTTTGTTTTAATACTTGTATAAAGCAAACTTTAATGAATTATTGACTATAAAAATACGTTAGAGTTTGGAAGTGTAAATGTGTTAAAAGGTTGTAGATTATTGGGTTTAATTAAATAACTGATGCATGATAATTATATATTTAGAGCATGAATGACACACTAAGTAGTCATGGGTTTAATTATTTTTAGTCCTCCCTACTTTACAATCGTGGCTCGCCCCTGCCACAAACAATGTCCATTTAAGTTGATCTGTGTAACTAAAACCTAAAAAGAACATCTGAAGGTGCAAGCAATGTCTATTTAGGATAATCATTAAATTTAATGTGATTTGAGACTTAAAAGGATTTAGGACTTTTTAAATTTTAACTCTAAAAATAGTTCTAAAAATTTTAAAGAACAGAAAATAATTTTCAGATAACAATAAAAGACAAGTTATCTAAAAACAGACCTTTTCAGAATTTTCAAAAAAACTGATTCAAACAGAGTTTTTTTTGTTCAGTTTTTTGTTTTCCAAAAATAAAAAATTATTCTTAAAATTACAAACCAAGCAGAGTTTTAATAATTTAATTGAAAAGGTTGGCAGAGGGATTAGTAAGGCTAAAACTTTGATCTTATTTAATGTATTCATGGAATAAAATTGTCATAATTTAGATTTTTTGGATTTTTTATTAGACTATTATTACATGTTGTAGGGCACCCTAAACTATTTTTTAGATATTTGTAATTACAGACGTGGATAAAGAGATTTTTTATGACTTCTTGAACACAAATTAATCATTTGCCCCAATTACATCAATTTTATTTTCGTTCACGGGTCACGGGTAATGGATAGTGATAAGAGAGAGAGCAATAGAACTGTAAATGATGGGAGGTGTGCGTCTCGATCGCTCTTTTTGTCGAACATTGCGAGTGCAATCATCGACAACGCGTGAGAGCAAATAATAAGAGCAGCGCTTGTGCTTACGGTGAGGCGGTGGTGATGATGGGTGGGTGCTAGTGGTCCAATTTGGTCCCCCGGCATGAATGAGTGCTACTTGTGCGTCTTAGGAGAAAGTTGAGAACAGAGACCAATATTATTATAGTATTATAATCCAATACTTGAGGTGAACAAAAATAAATGAAAACAATAAATGAAAACTCAAATTCAAGTTTGTGTTGTTGATACTAAGATCTCCTTCCTTTTTATTAATTTGGGATGTTGGACTTCACCCGACCATTCTTCAAGGACTCAGAAAGGGTAATTTTTTATAACGGACCCAATAAGTTACTTAAGTGTAAGTGTGGAAGATGTTTTACGAGTCATCAAAGCCAAGTGATCTTGCCACTGCACCAACCCTTTAGAGTTACTAAAATGTTTTTTTATTAATGCGTAGAAATTATATGTATACATGTAAATTTCGTAATCTGCATATAAAGAACAAAATAGAGAACAAATAATAATTTATTGATTTGTACAATCTTTTGAGATATTCTTTACAAAAGAAATAAAGTATCATTTGATTCGATCTCTTTTGTTAGTTGGATTCAATGATTGTTGGAGCTTAATCTTGAATCTGATTGTTGACAATCTTCTTCAAGTATTTGTAGTTGAAGAAAATCGCCAATGATTTCTGATCGAGAACTGGCAAAGCTTAATCTCGAACAGTGTTATATGGTGATTCGTCAAACTTGTTAAATCACGGAGAAAGAACGGCACAATTTTGATATATTTGTTGTTCTTTGTTGAATATGAGGAAGAACGGCACGACTTTAGATGTGCTTGTTGTTCTTTATCTTCATTGTTGTTCTTTATTGAATCTGATGAAGAACGACACGACTTTGAATGTGCTTGTTGTTCTTCATCTTCAGAGAGAATTTGGTGTTTGGATGTGCTTGTTGTTCTTCGCCTTCATAGAAAATTTGTTGAATTTGATGAAAAACGGCACGACTTTAAATGTGCTTGTTGTTGATCACCATGAAATTTTGATGAAAAACGGGACGATTTGATGTGTTTGTTACTCTTCGCCGTCAAGTTTTGATGTTGGGGATGAGTATTTGATGTGCCTGTTGCTCTTAACCTTTAGGTTTGGATGTTGGGGAGAATATTTTTGATGTACATGTTGCTCTTAACCTTCAGGTTTGGATGTTGGGGAGAGGAATTTTTGTATTTCTCCTTATTTCTGAGTCTATCAATTTCTGTACCCCTATCCTCCTTCTTCCGTGCCTCTATTTATATGCTTTTTGGATTAATAGGATGATGATACGTGTCATCTCCTGATAAGGACAAAATCATAACTGGCTCAGGCTAAATTGTGATAATTATCCATAAAAATAATTATTCTAAATATATTTTATTATAAATAATTATCTTTTCATTTAATCATTTGGGTTGGGTTAATTAAATAGCTTAAGTGGACCAAATTTAGGCCAATTAAATAACTTAATTAAACATTAAACTCATATTTAATAGGTCAATTCGTCAAAACAAAAGTCCCTTTCAAATTTAGTGTCTACAACCTGCTTTGTTTTTATCAGTTTCTATTCGTATAAAACGCTGTTATAATCTTACAACATCGTCAACATATAATATGTTGCATATATATATATGTATTATATATATAACTGTTTCTACGGATATCTTTATTGCATTTTGGTTTTTATTTTTATAAATACCCACACAATTGTGGTGCAATCGAACCCGCCCTAGCAGCTAAGAGGTCACTTAGACGTGACTACGAAAGAAAACTGTTGTGGTTGGACGAATCACCATGGCTGCTTCTGCCTGTTACTTCATAACACTATTAATAATGCATCATGTCATTAGTACGTGGAAGCAAAAACTTCAAAAATTAAATTGTATAGGAATTAACTCGTAAATGTCAAGAGGAATTATGTGTGTGAGCTTAGTTAAAAAAAATAAAAATAAAATAAATAGGAAAAATTAAGGACAAACGCATCTCTTAAAGACGGAGATGATTCTAAAGGTACAGCCTCACACATGTATGAATTTATTATTTAATTTTCTATCTTTACCCCGACAACAATGATACACACATGGACACCATATTGACTGATTGACAGTTTTGGTCAATACCAGTTTCACAAAGCATGAATGGAACGTTGTGAACAATCTGTGTCAACCAAGCAAACCCTGCTTTATCTTTTTGTTTTCTCATCGATTGACTAAAATTTAAGGCATTAGCACCAAGGACAGAATCAAAAAAGAGCCAAAGATAACTTTTAATCCTACCAATTCCAACCTGTCACCCATGAAGTATTTCTTTAATTTTACAGTTACCCTCTCAAACATAACTAATTACACGCAAATTAATCCCTTATATTGCTGATGATTGGTGGAATCAAATTCTTATAATTTTCAAAAAATTTGCAAATATGAAAAAATACTGTTTACTATTACATTTAGGTACACAAGTAATACTTTTTGTACACATAAAGTATTACTTTTCGCGCATCAAGTACCACTTTTTTGTGATACAAAATGGTACTTTTATGCCCAAAACAAAAGTGATATATGATGCACAAAAAGTAATATCTGCGTGCAAAAAAAGTAGTACCTTCATGAGAATAAAGAATGTTTTTGTCCACAGCTTTATTTTGGTCAACTTTATTTTTTCAAAACTATAAGACTTTTAGTTCATCAGCGCATCAAATAATAAATATAGATCATCAGCACCATTTATATATAATAATTCGTATCATTTAAACTCGAATTAGAGACAGATTAAATCCAAGACGACGGTAGATTTTACAATTTGCCCCCTTAGACACCTTAACCAGAGCTATCCTCTCTGTCTCTCATGGATATAAGATTGGCACAAAACAATGCTCTGAAAGATTCTGATCAATAATTTTAATAGTACAACCAACAAGTATGATCAGTTCACATGCATACAACTAAATAATGGCAAGTATATATGGATTAAATATTTAAAGGATTCTATCATGATCATTACAATCAACCATTCCATATGCTTATGGTACACAAACCAACCAACAAAATTTGAAAAAACCATATACAACCAAAAAAAAAAATTGAGCAAATTAACCAGTTCATTG